CAGCTTCTCCGCTAACCGCTGTGCCTCCTTCGCCTTGTGCCATGTTGTCGCTATTGTCTCGTGCTTGAAGAGCGATGTGACGAGGTTCCGCAGGAGCGCTTGACGATGCGACGACGACCGACTGAGATGGCGATATTTCATGTGACCGCCTGCCATGACGGGCAATTGGTTCTGTATAGACCGGAAAGGGCGTGGAGGGGGTCTTGATGTTGCTGCACTCCCTCAGCCTCTTGCACGCCGCGATACCATCGCCCGCGAAAAGTTCGGGCATCGGCGGTCGCTTCCCCGACTCCACATCCCTGCCGCGCCTGCTCTGCTTATGCAAGCAGCCACTTTAGCACTAAACGGATCCGTGACCCAAGCAACGCGACGGGACGCGTTTCTTCTCTTTACGCGTTATAAGTGTCCCTGCGTCCACCCACCCCTCACTCCTGCACTCTCCTCAATACACCCTCTTCACGATACCCACACAGATACCCCCACTACTTTTCTAATTCAACATGTTCGTCCTCAAGCGTGGTATGTACTGCTTTGCCTTCACCGCCTCAAATCTTCACCACTAACGATTGACTTCAGATGGACGCAAGGAACGCGTGCAGTTCGACAAGATCACAGCACGAGTCTCAAGGCTGTGTTACGGCCTCGACCCGGACCATGTTGACCCCGCCGCCATCACCATGAAGGTCATTTCTGGTGTCTACCAGGGTGTCAACACCGTCCAGCTAGACGACTTGGTACGGCTTTCGATGAGTTCAATGTCTGTCCAGTGGCTAACAGACGACAGGCCGCCGAGACAGCAGCATACATGACCACCACACATCCCGACTACGCCATCCTCGCTGCGCGTATTGCCGTATCAAATCTTCACAAACAGACACAGAAGCAATTCTCTGTAGTTGTAGAAGAGCTGTACAACTATGTCAACCCCAAGAACAACACCCGCCAACCCATGATCTCTGATTACATCTACAAGATCATCATGGACAACGCCGACGAGCTCAACTCGGCTATAGTCTACGACCGCGACTTCAACTACCAGTTCTTCGGCTTCAAGACGCTTGAGCGCTCATATCTCCTCCGCATCAACGGCAAGGTCGCCGAGCGCCCACAACACATGCTCATGCGTGTCGCTGTCGGTATTCATGGAGCCGACATTGAGAAGGCCATCGAGACCTACGACTACATGTCTCAAAAGTACTTCACACACGCCTCGCCCACACTGTTCAACGCGGGCACACCATCGCCACAAATGTCGTCCTGCTTCCTCATTGACATGAAGGAGGACAGCATTGACGGTATCTACGACACACTGAAGACATGCGCGTTGATCTCCAAGACTGCCGGCGGTATTGGTCTCAACGTCCACCGCATTCGTGCTACTGGCTCATACATCGGTGGCACCAACGGAACATCCAACGGTCTCATTCCTATGCTCCGTGTGTACAACAACACTGCTCGCTATGTCGACCAAGGTGGCAACAAGCGTCCCGGTGCTTTCGCCATCTACCTCGAGCCGTGGCACGCCGACGTCTTCGGCTTCCTCGACCTGCGCAAGAACCACGGCAAAGAGGAGGTCCGTGCTCGTGACCTTTTCTACGCTCTATGGATTCCCGACCTGTTCATGAAGCGTGTCCAAGACAATGGAAACTGGACACTCATGTGCCCCAACGAGTGCCCCGGCCTTGCCGATGTCTATGGTGATGAGTTTGAGGCTCTATACGAGAGCTACGAGAAGCAGAACAAGGGTCGTGAGACTGTTCGCGCCCAGAAGCTCTGGTACGCCATCCTTGAGGCTCAGACGGAGACTGGCAACCCCTTCATGCTTTACAAGGATGCTTGCAACCGCAAGAGCAACCAGAAGAACCTCGGTACCATCCGCAGCTCCAACCTGTGCACCGAAATCGTCGAGTACACTGCTCCTGATGAGGTTGCCGTCTGCAACTTGGCTTCTCTCGCCCTGCCTTCCTTCGTCGACTACAAGCGTGGCGAGTTTGACTTCAAGAAGCTCCACGAAGTCACACAGGTCGTCACCCGCAACCTGAACAAGATCATCGAGGTCAACCACTACCCAGTCGAAGAGGCACGCCGCAGCAACTTCCGCCACCGACCCATCGGTATGGGTGTCCAGGGTCTCGCTGATGCCTTCCTTGCCCTCCGCATGCCTTTCGAGTCCAATGAAGCGAGGAAGCTCAATATTCAGATCTTCGAGACCATCTACCACGCTGCTCTCACTTCCTCATGCGATATTGCAAAGGAACTTGGTCCCTACGAGACCTACCCGGGATCTCCCGTCTCTCAGGGTCAACTGCAGTATGACATGTGGGGTGTCGAACCTACGGACCTTTGGGACTGGGCTGCCTTGAAGGCAAAGATCGCTGAGCACGGTGTACGCAACTCCTTGCTCATTGCGCCTATGCCAACTGCGTCTACATCACAGATTCTCGGCAACAACGAGTGCTTCGAGCCATACACATCCAACATCTACTCTCGCCGTGTGCTCGCGGGTGAGTTCCAGGTCGTCAACCCATGGTTGCTCAAGGATCTCGTCGACATGGGCCTCTGGTCTGAGAACATGAAGAACCGTATCATCGCTGATGGCGGTTCCATTGCCAGGATTCCAAACATCCCCGAGGAGACCAAGACGCTCTACAAGACCGTGTGGGAGATCTCGCAGAAGAGGATCATTGAGATGGCCGCTGACCGTGGTGCATTCATTGACCAGTCCCAATCTCTCAACATCCACATGAAGGAGCCTACCATGGGTAAGATCACTTCCATGCACTTTGCTGGCTGGAAGGCTGGTCTCAAGACTGGCATGTACTACCTCCGCACCATGGCTGCTTCAGCACCTATCCAGTTCACTGTCGACCAAGAGGCCCTCAACGTCGTAGACACCAACGTTGCTCGTGCTCTGCCCAAGGTACGAAAGCAACCGGGCTTCCAGCCTGAGGCTATCCGACACTCACCTGTCACTGCTTCGCAAACCCCATCTTCGGCACCTCGTCCAATGTATGCCACCAAGCCTACCAACGGCGAGGAGAAGAAGGAGGAGGAAAACGGTGTTCCCACCCCAGATGCTACCCCAGATGCTACTCCAACGCCTGTCACGGAGACCCGCAACGCTCTCGCAAGCAAGCCTTTCAAGGCCGATGTGGAGGAGGGCGCGAGCCCAAAGATGGTAGCTGCTGATGCAGCCGTCAAGCCGGACGAGGAGATCACCAGGAAGGACAAACAAGATGAGGACTCCAAGGATGACAGCGAGGACCGGGATGGTGACATCTATGCTGAAGCCGCCCTTGCTTGCTCGATAGAGAACCCTGAGTCCTGCGTCATGTGCAGTGGTTAAGCACTGCAATGCACATTTGTAGGATGGGTTTAGGTAAGAGCAGCGCTCTGACGCATATGGTCTTTCCGATTGTTTTCGGCGTTGGTGGTCTTTACGCGTAGGCACGCTTGGATTAACGCAAGGAGGTATGAGCTCATGAGTTGGATGTGTTTATTGTCAAAGCATAATGTATGTAGCGAACACAACGTTCTTTGGAACACGATTTCTGCACACATGCACATGTGTCTGTCCACCGTGATGTCCTCAATTCCCCCACGCTCCAACACTAGCGTGACACGTTCCGAAAGCCGCGGCTCAATTCCGAACAGGAAGCTAGGTACATCTTCCCCACATTGCGCCCTACAACAGTACAACCAACACGCGCCCTTGGAAGTACATACTACTCGGCGTACTTCTATAGACACATTTGAAGTACTGCATACCGTACGTATCTTTCTCCACCCAATTCCCTCAACCAAGAAGCTAACACCGCATCTTCTCGTAGCTCTCCCAAGCTCAAGCTCCCATAGCCGCAGCCCCACACGCCCGCCTTGCTTGCTACGACACATACATATGTTTGCCCTCCGCACCTTCCGTCCCGTCATCGCATCTTCCCTCGCAACATCATCGAGATACGCACCGCTGTTCCAACACCGCACAATGGCATCGTCTACCGCTCCACTACAAGAATGGCTCATCATCGTGCCTGATCATAAGGATGCGTTGCAGAAACGTATTGCGAGTCGCCCGAAACATCTCGAGGGGTTGAAGGCGGATAGGGAGGATATGTGGTTGTGGGGTGGTATGTTTACTCCTCTTCTCCTTCCTACCTTCCATGTCTTGTCTGCTTCACAAGGCATAATGGCATAGTCGACTGGTAGATGATGGCGCTAATACTATGTGTTCGCAGGAGCCATGCTCGAGGAACCCATCAAAGAAGGCGATGCGGGCCCACCCAAGATGAAAGGCTCAGCTTGCCTCATTGGTGCTAAGACGAGGGAGGAGGTCGTGGAGAGGTTGAAGCAGGATGTTTATGTCAAGGAGGGCGTGTGGAACTTGGATGATGTGCAGATTATTCCGTTTAAGAGTGCGGTTAGGAAGGCTTTGTAGGAGTGTGCTGGAAACGAGAGTACAGGAAGGAGGTCATGGTCGTGATCTCTGCCAATGGCAGTTGCGCATTCCATCGCTAGCCGCCATGTTTGTATCTCTCTATGCGCTTCCCCGAAATCTCAAGCCACTATACTACGACTTCACCGGTTGCGCACTCGCAGTGCTATGTAACCTCATCCAATCATTCCTCGCACCGTATTCCGTCCTCTGCATACATGTCTTATCCCACATGTATTGGCGATGCAGCTCAGTGGCGTTGTGTAACGTGAGCCTCCAATGATACCTCTTTTGCGGTGGGTTGGCGCTGAACAGCAAACACGTCGCTGCACGACTCCGCACTGATATCTGGCTCTGCATGTATCATTGGACATCATGCACTTGTCAATGTAATGAGCGCGCGCATTGTACAGAAGCGACATGTAGGTCTCAGCCTATCTTGGTTCCCGACCGAAGGCTGAAAATCTTCTTTCTCAAGCCTTCCGCGTGATATCTAGCTCGCAAGGCCGCTGTCTTGTGCGGTGGGTACACTTTCTCTGACCTCGTTGCATACCCTTGCACACCAATCATGGCACCCATCGTTCACATCATCGACCCGGATCCGGATACCGTCATAGTGCTCAAAAATCCGTGTACAATCTTTGCGCCTTGCGATCCGGAAGAAGCAAGTCCAAAGCAAGCCATGTGCGGAGGACCAGTGCGTGTATATTACAAGAAGAAGAAGAAGAAGAAAGGGAAGAAGTTGGGGTATGTCAAGAGAGACCACCGATCAAGCACAACAAGTTTGTCCTAACTCAGTACAGTGATGAGCACCCACAACCATCTACGTCTCCACTTCATCAGGAACCTGCACTTGTCGAGACTCCTGCAGACAGCAGCATGTTTAACTTGGATGAAGGGTCCACCGCGCTTGCAGAACCTTCCTCTGCTGTGCAGCGTACGCCGTCACCGATCTTACCGGAAGAGCCTGAGGAGGAGTCGATCCATTACCATGTGTCATCACGCCACCTGATACTTGCATCGGCTGCATTCAAGCGAATGTTAGCACGAGACGGGTTCGCCGAGTCTGTTCGCAACGAAGCCGATGGACTTTACCACATCACGGCTCACGACTGGGATGCCGAAGCCTTCCTCATTGTTCTGCGTATTGTTCACGGTCGCAATAAGCTGATTCCACGAGAAGTGTCCTTGGAGATGCTTGCCAAAATTGCTGTGCTAGAGGACTACTACAACTTCGGAGAGGCTCTCGATGTGTTCACTGAGGTGTGGATCCGGGAGCTTACACAGAGACCTATACCCCAAATGCACGGTAGAGATCTGGTATTGTGGATCTGGGTCGCATGGGTGTTTGATGTTGAACAACAGTTTACGAAAGCCACAGCAACATCCATTAAGCAGATCACTGGGTCCTTCGGGACATTGGATCTCCCCATCCCTGCGATAGTATCAGGTACGTGGGTTTACAAATCGCCACAGCCGGACATGTTCTTATGCACAGCAGATGAAATCGACTCCAGGCGATATATGGCAATCGAGTGTCTTCTTGAGGGCCTTTTCAAGCGTCTTGAGGTGTATCGAGCGACAAATTATCAATGCCGGTACAATGGGGATCCTAACATCTCTTTCTCGTGTGGCGCTTTTCTTCTCGGAAGTCTGATGAAGGGATTAAGTTGTATGGGTCTTGATCAGCCTCGACCTGAGATCCCGTTCCGAGATCTGAGCTTCAGCGCACTTTGCGACCAGTTGCAAAATATGGATTCGGCGCAATGGATGCCTTCCATAGGTTACGACTACCATCCATGTAACCTGCAAACAGAATTGGAGCATCTTATAACAGATGCGTCGGGTACAATCCGAGGCTTGAGCTTGAGCGAACTCAAACATAGGTAGCATATGTAGTGCAATGCGAATGATCGAACACGTACAAGGAGGATGTTCTATTGCTCAGCCAAATCCACCCCACAATTCTCGCCGGAAGTGACGATGAGCACTAGGCCACATACGACCTAGTGGCGAAACAGGGGTCCAATGTCCGATGTCAGAAGTCGGGAGTGACATGTCGACGATCATTCAAGCTGCAAACCTCCCTGAACTTCGACAATGCCACGATGAGCGAAAGCCAGAAGCTCCTGCATGAGCATCCTTCCGACAGCGACTCAGAACCCGAACACGAGCGCAAACCAAGTCCACGACACCTGTCTCCATCGCCCTCGTCATCGCGAACCACCTCCGCGTCTCCAGCACCACCCGGGTCACGCCCAAATGGCAATATCAAGCGGCAGTCGTCTTTCGCACAAGCTCGGCCCGATGGCGCACCGAGAACGCCCAATCGGGTGCGCTTCGAGGAACCCAGGAGGAGCATGAATGGGGATAACGGCGGCGGCGACTGGCTCGAGCTGGATGGAGACGACTATTTGGATGGCGGCGATGGGCGAGAAAGAACACAGAGGCTTCCTCTACTTACTGGAATCGAGGCGCCAAGCGTCACAGTCGCCGAAGAATCCTTCAATCCGGAAGACCATCTCGAGAATGCGCGACCACGGAGCGGGATGCGGAGCGCGTTCATGAATATGGCAAACAGTATAATGTATGCCACCGAAGACGAACCCATAAAAGGGAGCTGACAAGAAGCAGAGGAGCTGGTATCATCGGCCAACCGTACGCTGTTCGCAACGCCGGCCTCGTGACAGGCACCGCCCTCCTCATCGGCCTTACCATCGTGGTAGACTGGACCATACGACTCATCGTCATAAACTCCAAGCTCAGCGGCACCGACTCGTTTCAAGCCACGGTACAACACTGCTTCGGCAAATCGGGGCTGATAGCGATATCCCTCGCGCAATGGCTCTTGTATGTTTGCCTTACGACATGTGGAAGCAAGGGTATTGACAGCATACAGCGCTTTTGGTGGCATGGTCGCGTTTTGCGTCGTAGTCGGAGATACAATACCAAGGGTCTTGGATTCAATGTTCCCTTCCTTAGCAGATATGCCATTTCTCTGGCTACTGACTAATAGACGGGCCATCATGATCCTGCTCATTCTTGGCATATCATTCCCACTGTCGCTTTATCGGGACATCTCAAAGGTAAAAACTCTGTGATTGACCTTGTACTTGGGCTGACAATTTGTAGCTGGCCAAAGCTAGTGGTCTAGCCCTGGTCAGTATGACCATCATCATAGTGACCGTAGTCACGCAAGCCTTCCGTGTACCCGCCGAATTGAAGGGCCAGCTTCGTGGCAACCTCATCATACGACCCGGCATCTTCGAAGCAATTGGCGTAATCGCTTTCGCCTTCGTCTGCCACCACAACAGCCTCCTCATCTACGGCTCCCTCCGCAAACCTACGATCGATCGATTTACACGCGTTACACACTACAGCACCAGTATATCTTTAGTTGCATGTCTTGTGATGGCTCTAACAGGCTACTTGACCTTCGGAGACAAAACCCTCGGCAACGTGCTGAATAACTTTCCGAATGATAACCTCATGGTCAATATTGCGCGACTGTGCTTCGGCCTCAACATGCTTACTACGCTTCCGCTCGAAGCCTTTGTATGTCGAGAAGTCATGACCAACTATTGGTTTCCAGACGAGCCGTACCACCCGAACCGCCATCTCATCTTCACGACCTCGCTTGTCGTTTCCGCCCTCACACTCTCCCTCCTAACTTGCGATCTTGGCATCGTATTTGAATTGTTCGGCGCGACTTCTGCATGCGCATTGGCGTTCATCCTGCCGCCTCTGTGCTACATGAAGCTAAGCCAAAGAAGTTGGAAGACGTACTTGGCTGGGGCTGTTGCGGCATTTGGAGGTATCGTAATGGTCATCAGCATTATCAAGACTACCAGCAAAACGATGATGGGGAATAGTGAAGGGGCGAAATGTAGTTGATCTATATTGTATCATATATATAGCGAGCATTGGGTGGCGTTTTGGTATACACGTTGCATGTGCATGGCGTAGAAGGCCGGTGGGGGTCACCGACCTTGTTAGACAGAATCTTGGAATACATAGTTATCACTTGCTGCCAACGAGCACATGCATTGTCGCATGGCCGAAAATAAGGCTTGACGAAGACTATTTTCGTCTTCCTCGGTTCAATCGGCACCAAATTTCTTGAAGTTGGAGTCTCGTTAAGCTCACTAGCTTTCCTCAAGTCCGGTACACCAAGTGCCTCCGGCACCAGATCCGGCGCAGGACGCGTACTCACAGACCCACAACAAACTTCAACACCACGCTAGGCTTCAATTCACAATATCGCGATGAACGTTTCGCGATGACCGTTTTTTCTGGTCCCCAATTCATCTCGCAGATTAGCGATGACGATGCGGCTGCTTTCTGTGATGTTGGAGGCGCAGATCACCCCCTGCTTTGGGGCATTGACGTCACGCAATGCAGGTTCCCGAACCCTGCTTTCGCGACTTTGACAGACCGCTGGGAAGACACGACGAAGGAGCGCTATGACAGGGAGGACTTCACATATAAGACCCGGCATGTGCGTTCCGAATCTTGAACTCTAAATCTCCAGACTTTATCATCTCCAACGTCTAGCCAAGCACGCATCTCGCAGTCCAGATCTCCTGTCGATTATCTTGAAGCTTCCAAGGTTCTCATAACTCCTACACCGAACCAACAACATGCCTCTCTTCGGATCCAAGCGGGAGCCCAGCCCCCCTCCTGCTCCTCCTCAGAAACACTCCATGTTCTCTAGGCGTCGCTCTTCTTCCCCTTCGTACAGGGATTCGCGCCATAGCAGCTCCACCAGCCGCACCACCACGACATACACCTCCTCCCCTAAGCGCACATCTGGCATGTTCAGCCGTGGCTCCGGAGACCCTAGCATTGCGACTGCTAAGCAGAGTTTGATGACTGCTGAGGCTGCGGAGAGGGACGCTGACCGTGCGCTCTTTGTCGCCAAGAACGCCGTGAGAGAGGCGCGGGAGCATGTTCATCGTTTGGAGCGTGAGGCTGCTGAGGAGTAAGTGATACCGTGGACGATGAATATGATGTTGAGTGGTTGCTAATGGGTATACAGGGCGAGACTTGCGAAGATCAAGCAGGGCGAGGCCAAGGCTCTCGGCAAGAAGGGCAAGTTGCTTGGACGCCACGACCATGTCTAAGTCGACCCAATGCGCCACCCTTTGAAACAGCCATCGATACGGCGGGTCGGGCTAGCTCTCATTTCCTTTTATCACGATGTTGAATGATGTGAAGCGCGGAGTTGTCGGATTTCTTATGTCGCCATGAGCGCTTGTATAATACCCCCTGATGTCTCTATGCATATCCAATTCTGTTTGTCTACCGTTTATCTCACCTGATGCGTCAATTTGAGTGATCACGTCAGCCCGGTAAACGTCATTCCATTGTCTGGGCTCACATACTCTACCACGCCTGATAGAAGATGGCAAACAGACCGGCGGTCTCGTGGATGCGAGCATGTTTTACAAACACACACTCTCTACTACTTATACCCCGGAGAAGCGCTCCTACATGGAACAAGGCATGCAACTCATGGACTGCTCCATCAACAGTAAGTCTTCATATATCCTCGTCGCCGTTGTGCAGCACACTAATCTGATAGCAGAGACTGAGCGCGACCGCTCGACGCGAAAGCCCATACGTTGAAGCTCCTGCCGGCGGAGTTCGTGTGAAAGCCAAAGCAAAACACCAGATGACGGAAGAACTAGGCGGCGTTGTGGTCGCCAAACTGAAAGAGTTTCTCGACAAACGCACAAACTCCCTCATCGCCCACACACCACCGATATTCACACCCCACCAACACAACTCTACCTCAATTCTCTATACCCCTCCCTCTTACACGTGTAATACTTTTCTATACACTCTCTTCATTCATTCAAGATGGCTCGCACCAAGCGCGAAGCCCGCCGGGCGCCCAACTCCATCGGCGAAGCCAAGCGCGACATCGCGGCCTACTACGCGGGGCTTGTCCAGGACAAGAACACGCCCGCACGTCGCCATGCACTCGCGTACTCTTCACTGCCGGAGGAGACGCCCATTCCCGTCGGCTTCGTAAGTTACCATTGCCCCAACTCAAAAGGAAGCAGACACTAACTTCAACCCCTCTTCAGACCGGTCAAGTCATCAAGGAAGCGCAGAAGTCACCACAGACGCGCGAACTAGATGAGTTCAACCGTCTCGTCGCCGCTCGCCTGGAGAACAGGGAGACATCGGTTGAACGGGCCATGTTGAATCTCCTCCTCGACCGCGAAGCCAAGATCGAGCAAGAAAAGCTCGATCAGGCGGCTGCGACTGAGGCAAAGAAGCAGCAGTGGGTCCTGGACGGACAACGTCGTCACCAGGGCATCCTGTCCGCTGGCGGCGACCCTGTCTGGACTAGACGTCATCTCAACAGGGCCTTTCTGGGCTACGGCGACAAGTCGGATTCCGACTCTGACAGCGTCTTGAGTCCTTCTGAGAGCGACATCGACGACCCCGACTCGGGTCGTATTCGGGAAGACCCTCCTGTCGTGGGCAAGAAGCCTGCTGTCGGTGATACGTCGACTCCTACTCCTGAGGTGGTCGAAGAAGAGGTAAGTCCATCCATCCGATCACATATACCATCATTACTAACATGAGCCAGGCCAAGGCCAAGATCGCCGACGCCATCTCGACCCTCACGTTCGAGAAGGGATCGGACTGCCCCCTGTGGATCGGCCACCTCGAAAAGCCGCTCCCACACCCCTCTCTGACGGCGCTTCAGAACGAACACGTTCTGAAGCGTCTCTACGACGACGAGATTGCTCGCCTGAGCGCCCTCCGCGACACCCGTGGCCCTCCCGCCGGACACCCTCCGGGCGGAGACTGGATGTATACATCCTTGTATGGTGAGACGAAGCAGGTCAAGGAGGAGCCGGCTGGAAGTCACCGGGCTGCTGCGAGAGGCTGGTGGACGTACAATGTGGACGGTGAGGATTTGGAGGAGGTGTGGGAGAAGTGGCCGGTTGGCCTTGATGGGACGCCAGTGGGCTGGAGGAGGGTGAACTGGAAGGACGGGACGGTGGGGAGTTCTCTGGTGAGGAACTGGTTGGAGAGGGAGTTGTGGGCGATGCCCGAGGAGGATGCGATGGAAGGAGTTGAGTTTGAGTAGGCGGGTGGCTGGCTCGCATGTCTTCCTGACCATGTACGGATGATGTGAGGATATGTAGTTGTGTCAAGATACCACAATGAATGCAACTGAAAGACGATGACCTCACTCAGTAGATAAGACCACATAGATTCAAGTAAAGTCTCTTGTAACGACCACGAGGGAGCCTGCCGTAGACAAAGGATTCCAGTAACAGCAACCATGACACCCCCAGGATCATGTCGCCTCTGTGAAACATATAGGCATTGTCTGCCACCTCCAGTATCTCCATGTATAACCCTGGCGGTCATGGCATCCGTACTTTGCTCGTCAGACTTGGAATGTGGCCTCCTTGCTACCCTCGTCAACAGCCCCATGAGGAATGCATTCGCTGACTCGGTACTCGATCTTTGTAGAAGTATGCATAGCCCTGCAGTATCCTCGACGCATACATTGTGATAGCTGATCCTGTTCGTGCTTGTGTGACATCTACGTAGACGTTTTGACCCATCCACGTATGCTACCTGTTGAAGCCTCTACTGTCTGAGTTCGTGAACTCTGGCTTGCGAAAGCCGCATGGTATCTCAGCTCTACATTGTAGTACCCTGGCCATCCTGGTATGGTCCTCTCCGTATACCCAAAGCCGTTCGCCGTCTTCATGTCTGCCTGTACAGAACCCTGGACCCTCAGCGGCTGACATGTGTCCCACAAGATGGAGTGGCATTGGCATGCTGCAAGGCCTCGAATATGCATCCCAGAATGTCTCTAATATAGAGCTCTAATGTCGATTGCGGGTTCGGGCTCTTCGGTGGGCTGGGTTTGCGGTGGATCGTCGAGGGTGGTTCGCGTTTTCGAGGCAGTAGCTCTACAGTAGCATAGGCGCTCTAGCCCAGGGAAGACGGAGAGTATAGGTATTGGTGTAGGCAAGCCCGGGGGCGTTCGATGTTCGGTAGCTGTTCATGGGCGTGACGCCGCAGGCCGGCGCTGTGGTCTTGGTGTTGCACCGCCCGCCACCTCCGCGGCCACTCGATGTTCTCAAAGCCGCAAGGCAGTGATTTGCCCCCAAGTCTCGAGGGTTCCTCCGTGTCCGAGCTGCGGTTCCACAACCACTTTGTCGATTCTGTCCAAAAAAGTGTCAGGAGGAAGTACGGTTCAGGGCTTCGCTCTCGTGCTTTGTCTATCCTTATAGACATCTGCTGCCGTGTTGCATGAGCCTGCCAGCTCCCCCATGTGAAGCCCTCAGCGAAAAGTTTGGTGTTCCTCTGCTCCCTCAGCTGGTTTTTGCGGAGGACTCTCGGGCAACCCACTCCCTCCACGCTGTATCTCCAGCACCACCAGACCAAAAAATATCTGGGGAGTGCCAAAAGCAGCGCAGAGCTCACGATATCCTCCTCCAGCTTTTCTGGTGTTTCTTTCTCGACGTGATGGAGTTGCACTCCCAGATTTACACCCTTGGGGTGAGCCTCCGCCACCGCGCACGGTCGCAACTGCTTCTCTGCTTCACCCCTAGTGCTATCTGAAAGCTCAGGGTCCAGGTTATTGAGTCTCCCCTCAAGCCTGTCTATACCTTAATACCCCTCCTCCCCAGAGCCCGAAGGGCAGTACGACAAGCACCGCGAAGCCCGTCGCAAGCTCCTCCAACTTTCCTGGTGTTGATACGACGTCAGGGGCATCTGGAACATCCATTGATGCCAAGTGATGGTGAGCGTGAGGCCGCGAGCCTTAGCTGCGAGCCTGGCAGCCTGGCCAGGGCTGCCATATAAGCTCGTCCACCGACCTCCCCCTCCAACTCTTCAACCACCCACCACCAAAGCTATATGCAAACTTTTGAGCTCGACAGCGCCCTTGTGGCTTCCTGTCGGAGCGCAGCAAAGTGCTCCACATGAGCGGCCTGCCCCACGATACGTAAGTCAATCCTTCGCTCCGCTCTAAGTCTCTTCGTGCACTCTCTGACAATATCATCAGCGCCGGCGGGCGAACGCAAGGCTTTTTCGAGCCTGATACGTGCACTCATGCACGCTTGTGCGCCACCTCCTCGATGACGACGTACCTGGTAAGTCATACTCACACTGCTTGCCTGCTTGAGCGCTGTATTCTCTTCGCGCTCTGTACTGTGGATCGCGCGATCTACCCATCCTGCCCCAAGTCGCTGCGAAGCGCCTTCAACCCCGCCTTTGGCAACGTCTTGCTCTCTCCCCTCCAGTACTCTTTTGACTTCTTCTTTATAACCTTGCTCCATCTCTTGCATACTAACATACTATTCAGTCTCGCCTTCGGGCAGGTCCCTCCGCACTCCTGACCAGCACAAGCCCACCGGAACTGGGTTTGCCATCTTCTCGTCCCATGAAGAGGTATGTACCGCGTTAGCAATCTACCCGCTTTTGCTAATATTGAATAGGCTGCGGAATCGCTCTGCATGAACGGACGGCTCATCAACGCCACACGCTTCGCTATGAGGTGGAGTCGGAGTAGTTCGTCTCTCGCCAATTCCAGGCAGTCGCTCTCCAAGTTTTCTACGAAGAGAACTACTTCGACTTCACCTCCAAGACATCATGTCGGGCGCCGCTCAAGGTATGTACTCTGTTAGCAATCTCCGCACTAGAACTTACTAACCCAGCTCAAGGAGAAGCATGCCCGCATCGTGGACCTCAGCAAGAACGGTGAACGTCTTCGGGGTGCGGTGCATGTGGTCCCGCGCCTGAGCAAGAACGAAGGGCACCCGCAGCCTACCTTCAAGATATCATGGCTAACATGCATGGCCCGAATCTCTCAACCTCCAGGGCGTGAGCGACTTCGACCCCAACGATCCCCTCTACTGGGCCATGGAGCACTGCCAGTCAGAACGACCCAAACCAGCAACTACATGGAAAACGGCCGCTGGTATCATGGCTTCCGGAGAGGCCTCTACATGTACCCGTGCGACGAGCACGAGAACGACCGCATGGACATCTACCACCAATTCTTTGCCGTCGCACGGAGAGGGCAGCTGCACCAGGCGCCGCACGCAAATGTCAAGCTCCCTGAGGCCGTTCGAAAGTGTTGAGTGCGACAATATGGCGCTATTTCGATATATACGCACTCTTGTGCACCGCCAGAGCCGCAAGCTGGCAAGAAGCGAAAAGCCGAGAAGGAGCCCGAGGTTAGTACCGTCTCAAGCGTTTAGATCACTCGCTAACATGATGCAGCCGAACAAGAAAGCCATGCCGAACCTCTTTGTGATGTTCCTGAGAACAGGACTTGCCCTCCTCAGCCTCGAATCAACATGTACAAAGACGAGGAGGGCAAGTTCAACGGCAAAGTCGTGCGAAGAGGTACGTCTGTCCGATCCAATGCCGATCTCAAGCGCTGACTCAACAACAGCTGCATCGCGAGTCGGCCCTCGTGAAGCCCGTCAACACGAGAACACCCCATCAAGAAGTTCGATACCAGAAGAGAACTCGTGTTGGCGGGTCGTCACACCGGAAGCGACCACGGCATGGATGGCGGACACATGCGTGGAGGCGCCGGCGCTGTACCCTTTAGGGCTGGGCCCCCCTCAACACTACATGGGTCATGGCCACGGCCACGGAATGGGTGGTGGACATATGCGCGGTGGCACCGGCGCTGTGCCCTTTAGGGCTGGAGACTGGAAGTGCGGAGAGAACGGCTGTGGATACCACAAGGCCACCTCGACGTCTTGACCAAGCCGATGGACGCCCGCGCCGACGTTCGCGCTTTCTTGTCAGAGCGAAGCAAGGTTCTGCACACGAGCGGCCTCCCCCACGACACTACCCAATCAGAACTAGAGAGCTGGTTTACTCAATTCGGCGGACGTCCAGTTGCGTTCTGGACCTGCAAGCAGTAAGTCGCCTTCCCCTAATGGGGTTGGCGCACCGACAACACGCCATGCAGCTGCCCTGATGACCTCCGCGAAAGCTTCCTGCATCATGTAGGACGCAGAGAAGTTTGTGGCCTGGAAATTCGGCGGCCAGAGATACGACGGACGCGATCAAGTGCTTCTGCTTGCCGAGGACAAGCCGCGCTTCAAGAAGTCTGGCCGTGGCGATATTCCTGACAGCGATTCAGAGTAACCACCTGTCAAAGCCAAGGATCGACTTATAGCTTTGGACACGAGTAGGATACGGGATGGAGGTTGATACGCAGGCTTAGATGCTTGAACGGGGAATGATACCATCGCCCTGGTCGTGCAAAGAGAGAGACGGCAGCTACCACAACTTCGCGAAGAACACCGCCTGTCTCCGCTGTGGTGCGAGCCGCGCATGTGCAGCTGTTGTTGCCGACTTGGAGATCAGAGTCCCTCCGGCAAGAAGAAGCGCAAGGCGCGGAAGAAGCCACTCGTGAGTACTTTTCGCATACTCTCGTCCAGCTACTGACAAGCATAGTCTGATGAAGAGTTCAAAGTTACGAACGCCGAGTATCATCAAGGACGTCCCAAGTTATTCGGTTGGGGGCGACTGGATATGGGCGAGGTCGGGGCCCTATCCACCATCGGCATTAAACTCGTTGCGCAGAGTTGTTCGTTCGTAAAAGCTTCTAGCCTTGGTCTTCGTGGGAAATCGTAAGACGCTGACAATATTCGGCGCGGTGACGGAGACTGTGGCAACCCTCACATGGGACCAAGTCCGCAACGCCGGTTCCATCCGTGGGTGTCGTAGAGCGCTTGAGCAACTTCTACAACGAACACATTGGACCCAAGAACCTCGAGTTCGCATTCGTAGACTCGTGGGACGAATGTGTTCGTTATGGGAGGATCGCTCGCGCCTATGCCATCCACGGAACATTCTAGCATGGCACCGCAGCGGTACGTCCAAACAACATCCTATCCAAACCGCAGATAAGACATGAGCTAACTTTGCTAGGCTTCGGCCGGTGTAAGCCGCCTTCACACCCATCGGGTCCCCCGGTGGGTGGTTGGCGCCTCAGGTCGCCTGCGACCTGATGCAGAATACTGCCGTCGGGCTCGGTACTGAGCGCCGTATGGAGTGTTCTGTGTTGGGTTCGCATGGCACCTCTGCGGCGCCGCTCCCAACGCTGTGTCGAAAAGAAACGAAAAGGCCAGCCTCACAATGCAGCAAACAAACGTCAGCGCAAGTAGTTGTATGTTGTGAGGCTGGCCGGCCGTGGAAGAAAGAAGGATCCGACGAGGACGAGGACCGGGTTTCGCCACCCATTACGCCACTATGGACGACCTCGCGCGCTCCATGGCCAAGGACATCCGCGATATCCAACCGTACGAAGGCCAGATGTTCTTGTCAATGTTCATCGACGCGAACCCCGAGCACGCTGTGTGGGAGTTCACCAACGACGACTATGAGGACATCAAGAACCAGGTCGACCTCATCTCTAGGGGGTTGGATCGGTGAACCCTGCAACGTCGTCCATGTCGACACCATCCAGGAAAAGGACAAAGACCTCGGCTTCCTGGCCGACAGGACATCGTCACCGCCCTCGCACAAGAGAAGTGCATCTGCGAGAACGTCATGTGCTCGGCGTGGCAGATCCGCATGTTCGTCAACGCACCTAAGGCGTATTCCAAGCGGAAGGATATTCCAGATGTAAGGATCAGAACCAGGAGGTATCCTGCCACTGACCCGACTATCGAGCTGGTTCGAACGCGATCGCAACCGAAACGTAGAGCGCATCTACAACGCGATCGCAACCGCAACGTAGAGCGCATCTACAACGCGATGGTCAGCGGCGATCATGCTAGAGACAACCCCAAATCAACCGCGCGGAAGAGATGGATCGAAGAGCCACATTACCAGTCCGACTTGTGGGAAATAGCAAGAGGCCGAACGCGAAAGGTCACAGTGTATGAATGGTAAAGGGTGGGAGATGGCGTCGGAACCCCCGGCGCGGTGTGTTAGAACTTTGTGGCGGCTTGTGGAAAACGGATTTGGCGATGGGATGTGAGCGACGTCTTGGTTTCGAGTTGAGGTTCAAATGCGCATGAAGTTCTCCAATCTATCTCCAATAAACCACATGTCTTCGTTAGCCCCGCGGGCCTCATGCATCGCGTCGTGAGCGGATGATTGTTGCGTCACTCGCAGCGGTATGTAACCCCCCTCTTCATCATCGGATGTTTGCTGACGTTTGCCTGCTCTGGCCCATACCAGAACATACTCATTGTCGATAGCGATAGTGGCGAAGCATTCTGGAGATGCCAGATCGCCCGTGAAGATGGCAAGGGATGGTCTGCGGCTGCACGTCGACGGTGGCTGGGCGGAAGATGGCGACCCACACTCGCTTCCGCGCGTCGTCCTTCCCGGACTTCCGACCGCACATCTTCGCCCCTTCTCCGCAAACTTCATCGAGAAGCTCGCCAACTCATCTTCCATCGTTCCGTAATACCGGTGTATCATCGTTCATCTCGCTGGCGATAGAAAGAGCTAGGAAAATACTGTCGCAGCATGCAGCGTGGAAAGCCGTACGCCATGGTCTTCAGAATTCCGTCGTGAGGGCGTCGAATGCCGTGGAAGACGTCCTGTGAACAGCATAATGCTGCGCAAACTATTCGTATCTCATCGCGCCGTGCTCATATGTATCGAAGCCATGGATATGCGCAACCCCGATCCTGTGCACATCGCCGCTCCGAGCTCATGAGGACATGGAGCCCCAAGACATCGCTTCCGAAAGCCAGATCTTGACCACCTGACAAGAGTACGACCGGCTTCGCTATGCCTGTCGTCGAACCTGCCTGTCTGGGCTGGCTCGTCTTACGATGAACACGTTCGAGGCTATCCATCGTTCCAGATGTCGCGTCGATTCTGCGGCTCCTTGGTCCTTACCGAAGACTCTCAGCACGGTCGGCTGGATGCTCGATCGCTGAGGATGCGCAGAGAGAATAGCCTTGTTCTGTCATGCGAGGTTTACGGGCGAAAGGTCGCATTGTCTTGCGCGCGTTCTCCTATTCCAACTTGCTGAGGCTCGTGCCCTCGTGTGCTGCTGGGCGTCTCAAGCTTGAGGCTGTCCGCAGTCGATGGTGTACCACGCGCAATTCGAGCAAACCGGTCGCGATTCGTTGGTCGCATTCCCCGGTTGAAGTGTGCATGCGGGAGAAGCAGACATGTCGCTTGAATGTCGCTGTGGCTCGTCGCCGGTATCTGTCGTGTTTGGAGCCTTCGCCGCCGTCTCGTCGAGCTGCCGTTCATCCAAGGGGTGCCTCTTCTATCTCGCTGTTGTCTGGCCCATTGTCGCTCTCGCATTCGGTATGCAGCCCATCCAAGCTTTGTGTTTGGTCTGCGATCAAGGCACATCGGCGGTATCGGTCGAAGCGGAGGCGCTCTGCGGCTTCGTGGGAAGTTGTGCGCGAGGAGGGCGGGGATTCGGAATGGTCGCAGGGCGTGCCCAAGGTTTGCTCTAGATCACTGTATCCTTTGTCAGTCGCTCTTGGATCTTCTACATCGGCCTCAGATCTGCTGTGTCCAGTCGCCGTCTTGGGCAGCAAAAGTTTTCAAGCTCGTTCTCAACGCCGCGGAGGAGCCCGCCACCACGGGAGTGATCAAGCCGGCCATGGGCGTATCATACCGCTACTGCTCGCTGTCAAGAAGCCGATCGTCCGTCAATCACCAGTAAAAGTCGCGCAGTAGCTTGCCGTTCCGTCGACGGCCTTCGCCTTGGGGTGAGTGAGCTCCCCCCATCAGGGGTGAGGGGATCTTAGCCACGCCCTCGAAGAGACGTCGCGCGACCGTGTCTATCATCGACGATGCCCTATGTCGGAGAAGCTCGCAGGAAGCCTCTATCGTCGGCCTGGGCGTCGAGGGGCTCGTGGCGCGATGTTGTGGGTCGTTGCCGTGAAAGGATGGTGAACGAGCCTGCTGTCGCGGGGCATGATGCCTTTCGAGAAAGCCGTTGCAGTAGAGGGTTTCGCGCCTGACAAGGCTCTGGTCAAGGTTTGGCGAGTAGCCGCATTCCTATGATGGCGTTGTGGTCGTGTGTGTGGTGAAGCTGAGGCGGCGGTCAGCGGAGCGATACGAAGCACGATATCAGCCCCACCACGATGCAGCCCGCCCTTCATCGACGCTGAGGAGACGTGCTCATCATGGACTAACTGGTAACTCGCTGTGCACGAAGAGGCCAAGTTCAAGCATGCGCGCAAGCACAGCTGGGAGTCGCGCCTTGCCCGACCAAAGAAGGCCTTCAATCCAAACCCTATTGGCCTTCTGCGGAGCGGCTAGAAGAAGACTTCCCCAATCTAGCCACGTCCAAATAGCGCCCATTAGAACAGCATGCCTGCGTCCAGCTCTCGAACACTGCCAAATTGTATGCAACGCGCTCCTGAGTAGCTTGCACTATAGACATCAGGGATAGTCTCATACGATTTTAAGCACGGAGGTCAAGCATGGTGATCAAGCAACAAGTGTACAAGGCATGCGATCAATTGCTCTGATCGCCTGCAACTGCTACATGCTAGATACATGCTGCTCATTGTCTCAAGAGCCTCCTACATGGGCCCATGGTATCCCCTTGGCTCATCGTCCTGCCGCTGCTGCGCTACTTCCATGCTTGCTCAAGGCGTCCTCGCCTTTCCTGCGGCCTCCATCTACGTATGTCAGGAATCGCGTATCCCCCTGGCCTCCCTCCTGCTCGCCTATCGCCTTGCGTTGTACCCATCGTGGCTTTCTTGTGCTGGCTTCGGTATAATGTAGGCCGTAGGTCGCCGTCGGAGGTTCATAAGACTGCTGTCAGTGAAAGATATCCCGGACAGGACTGATCAGTATACGTTCTTGGGATGCTATGTCAACAATACCAATGACCTTCGGTGGTCTCTCGTCATACCCCGCCTACCCTCGCCGTCAATAGGAGTCTCAGAACCCTAGCAGGTTCCCGGCGCTAGTGGGTCACCCAAATGGTCAACAGTACTTCACGCAGACAATAGAGGTGCTGCACGCCCCGGAAAAGCTTGCAATTGCCTGAGCTGGTTGCTGCATGGCTATTGAACAACAGTATCCCCTTACTGGGTCTCAACACGGGGTCGTCGTCGAGTACAGGTCACCGTCGCTCTCGTCTTGGCGCGGGAGCTGGGGCCTCAGGGCGCCGACTATATAAACAAGCGATTTTGGGATCCCTCTTCTGCTCTTTGGCAACCACATCAATCTGCCCAGTTACAGAATTGTTTACAATTCTGAAAAGTCTCTTCCCTCCTCCCTCGACACCAACAACAACACCAACACCAAGACCTTTCGGCAACCTCCCACCATCCTACACCACCAAGTCCGGAACATCACCGGCAAATACGTCACCATGTGGCGTTGCTTTGCACAAGTTGGGCCTGAGGCCGATGGAGAGGAAGTCCCTCCCCCCGCCAACGCCGCCTTCGCCGTCAACGGCCCGTTGCCGGATGGATACGTCCCGCCGGCGCCGCCTCGCCCAGCAGGTGGCTTCCCTCCTCCGCCCCCTCCGCCTCCGCCACCGCCTCCCCCGCCCCCTCCACCCCCTCGGGTCTTCACCCAGTGGGAGTTGCACGGGATCCGGGGCATGGCGCTCCACAACTTCTTCGCCTCCCTCTCGCTGGCCGACCAGTACCGCTGGCGAGCCCTCCAACACAACTGAGGATGACGTGGCGGCGGACAACGACGACGACGACATGATTGGCGCAGTGTGGCCTCCTGGGTGGGCTTTTGGGTTGGGTTTGGGGAGTTTGGGCTGGGGTTGTGGTCTCTTGGGTGGTTTCTCGGCGCGCTCTGGCGGCGTATAGACGTCAATGTATCCCCCTCGCTGCCTGCTTGTTTGCCAGTGGCGTCTTCCCGCTCACATTGTATTCTGCAAACCTCTTTTGTGATATGTGTATTTGACGTGATATATCTCTACTCAAAACGCCTATGTCCACAATTTGACTTTCACTCAAGCACCCCCCTCTCTCTTAGCATACTCATCCTGCATCCTCTCCTCATACTCCCTCTCCTTGCTCTTAGCGTCCTCCTCTTCCGTTACATCCTGAATCCGTTTCGCATCTGCATGTCTGTGGTCCTCTAGCTGTCTTCCCGAAGAATCCGTCTCAAATCGCTCAACGCGCGGCGCTTCACCTGGAGCTTGATGTGTACGCTCGACGCGGGTGCCGCTGGGATCTGTGAAGGTGTGTTCGGACTTTGAGGTTGTTTGGCCGTTGATGGTTGTGCTGGATGAGGAGGTGCTGAAGGATTGGAAGGTTGAGCTGGACATGGTGGCGGTGGGTGGTGGGTTGTGTAGTTTGATGAGTTGATGAATTTGTGACGGGGGATAGTTTGGAGTTGTTGGTGTGTGTGTGTTTGAGTTGTGAGGTTGTTGGGTTGTTAAACCTATTCATGGACCGAGGTCGTGTGTTACGCGTTGTGATCTCATGAGTGACGTCATAGGGTCCAGCAACACGAAACGACAACCAACCACTTCAGGCTCGACGCGACTGATCTGTCGCGTGCGCCTTTCGCATCAAGGAACCTCGCCCACAGTTCCGTCATCTCGACTAGCATAGGTATGTAGCTAAGCGTCTGAGCCACCGACTCTACAGGAAACCCAGGAACAACGCCGATAACTACACAAGCGACGCCGGTACGGACCGCAATCGTGGAAGACAGCAGGGGCGAGAACGCAAGATACGGAGACGGAGGAGTGGCTGAGATTTAATGCGTGAGTTCGCGATCGCTGCGCAGAAGTCGTAACGCACTTTGCAGGTTGTGTGGAAAGATCTTAGGCTACTCAATTAATGCGACATTATCAACTCACACCAGATATTCACACACGAGACAAGCGCCTTCCGTTAATTTCCAGCCCCAAGCCTTTAGCGTTTGCTATAGTGATTCGACCACTTCGACCGTCCACGTTGTATCAGAAAATAGTATCATGTGCCCGTCAATGAATCTCGAGGGGTCGCGGTACTCTACGAAACGCTACCAAAGGTCTTGTTGATGCTGGTTCGGGGTCGAACCTCACGAGAACGCCATTGATTCCATGCAATTCTTCTTCTTCTTTGTCAATCTCTTCAAATCTGGGCGCACCAAATAGGTCGCAAGCTGCTTTGGAATTGAGCATGTGAACGTTGAAGACAGTTGTGCGATGTGGCTCCCATCCGATAGATGGATAAGTGTCTAGTTTGAGCAGACGAGAGTGAAGGTGTCCGTCGCGGTGATCCGGTACTACTGTGTAATTCTATCAATGACATTTAGCGTGATCTTCGTCGTGAAGAGATGTTAAGACTTACAGAAAGATTCTCGCAATCAGCAAATAACAAAGTGTCTACGATTAAGTCAGCTTGTGTTACATCACATGATCGCTCTTCATACCGTCGACCTGTTCCCCTTGACTGGTAAGTCTAGCCGAGATAACAGTACCGTCTTCGAATTGAAGCTCGTACTTCCTCGTGAAGTCCCTGACAGTCATGCTGGGTAACGTCACCACAGCTTGGCAAAGTTCTTCACCCTCAACACCCACATCGATTACTGTTAGTACGTTAGTGTTCGTAGATGGCGTTACCTCGAAGCGTATGGTCTGGGCGTCTTGCTGTGTATAATTGGCCGCATACCGTGGACGGCGAAACTGTGTTGTTAACGCATTGATGTTGGATTTGTATCCATTGAGGAAGACCTGATCGGGCACGATGACATAATCTTGCTGGCCTTGTATTTGCGAGGTTTGGCCTGTCACCACGTTCACATTGTCGACGTAGATACGGATCACGTACAGTCTGTCTGCGTCAAACTTGATCCACATGGCTTCACTCTCTGCAGTTGCCCCATAGTTAGCTCAGCGGGCAAAGTTGCTGATATATGACTCACGCTGCATATGTAGATAAAGCCCCCTACATTTCGCCTCATCAAACTGCTGCCGATTGCTATCTCTGTGCAGAAAATGCAGAGGAAATATACCGTCGTCAGGAAGCAGATCGGCCAGATTTCGGTTGGGATCGATAGATGTCCGGTGGAATTCAATCTCCAGGTGATCGTCGACTCTAATGATGTTCCCACTACGTCGCTCACAGGAAAGCTGCGCCATGATCGCGGTGGAAGAAGAAGGGAGTAGCAGAGAGGATACCATTGAGTAGACATATGTTCGACATGGTTTGATAGCAAATAGAAAGGAACCGCCGCGAAGAAGACAGCGCTTATAGCAACCACGCTTGATGTGAGCAGAAGATAGCAACTGCTGGACATAGAGGAAGGATTCGTTCTACAGAGGTGGGATGTCAATGGCTCGCTCGAGTAGGCTTCCTGTGGCAGGGCATAGTCGCGTTAGCAACAAACCTCAGTGGTATTAGTACACTCCATGGGACATGGGAACATAATGATGGCATCGGCGTCAACATCAATATCCTCCGGCGCTCCATGTCGGAGGTGGCAGAGAAGTTTGGCGGGGAACCAGCGTTCGTGCCTCATGATCGCCGGCTAATCGCGCGACACCCCTGCAAGGCTCCGCCACGCTACGCCCCTGACAGCGGCGGCAGCGACGAGCGCCAGGCACCTGCCCTCGATCATTCCACCACCAGCCCACCATGCTGCTGTCCGGTATCGCGCTGCTGGCCGGCCTTCTGTCCTCGGCCCATGCTGCAGATATTCCCGAAGTACTCGACTGCGACCTGGATGGAAGAGGAAAAGTGCCTGAAGGGTGCGAGGCGCCCATTGCACCGGTCGCAGCCGTGGTACCCGGATCGTCCTACATCGCGAAGATAGAATGCAAGGACTGCCCTTATGAGGACCCTGAAGATCACGAGGTCATAACTGGTGATAATGTGCTTGTATGTATAAGTGTCCAGCCTAAGTCCAGCATGTGCCTAGAGAGCGGTGCTAACCAGCCTGAGCACTATAGCTTCTCAACGTAACCCTCACGCACGATAATCGCACAGTCCTCCTCAACGATCGCCCGCTATATCCCTTACCGACCATACCCACACCCTCCACCTTCCTCGTTACACGATATCGCCAAAATCTCTCCCATGCGGAACTGTACTGGGGCCTAACCTCCGAAGACCCGTATTGTCGAGAAAGCTGGAGTGACAGAGGACGATGGTGCCACGAAGTACCTTTGACACATGCCCCGCGAATGTATATCGATTATCTATACATCACAAACCCGAGCGATAATCAAGAAGGCGATGACGCGGAGGCGCAATACTGGAGCGTTGCGCTGGACGTGATTGGAAAGTCGCGGTACCCTGACGACCCTCTCTGGAAGTTCAATAGTCCCGAGCAGAAGATGCTGTGGATGCGCGTCAAAGGAACACCTCTGAGAAGAGGAGACAAAGGAGGCCCAGCCAAAGTCGCCGACCCGTTCGGTCAATCTACCACGGACGACCAGATCTACGAGTACCAAATCGTCGACATGCGCCTAGTAGCTCGAGCCTACACCTTTCCTCTCAAGAAGTCTTTGACGATTTGGGGCACAATAGGCCACTTCCTTGGCAGCGATGTCTGGGAACTAGAGGGGAGTCGCTTTCTCTACCGCAAAGAAGAATGGGGATACTACGGCAAGAAAGGAACGCTTCGCGACATGTTTGGCGAATTCGTACACTGGGAATGGTGGGGCTTGTTCTGGGTCATCTTCAGCAGCGTCGTTGGCGGCCTATTCACCATCTTTCTCTTATGGAAGATGTACTGGTGGATCGTTGCGCAGCGCGAGCTCATGAAGTGGGACGGCATGGAAGATGTCTGGGAGAATATGAGAAGGGATAGGGTGGCTGAGGAGGAGGGCGCACTGCTAAATGCTCACGGCGCGTACCGCGATGATCCGGATGAAGGCAGCTCCTCGAGACCACCAGCATATGAGGATGCATTGAAACCGCTGCCGAGTAAACCGCTGCCTGAGAAACCTTTACCGGCGGTACCGTTGATCGATGCTTGAGCATTTCGATGTTTCGCTGCCATTTATTTGACATTTACTTACGGATATCCATCTATTCACCATTCACGGTCTTTGTCACTTCTCCCGTTTTTCCAAACTTATCTACATTTTCATTCTCAAACCTGGAGGGCCAATCTATCGTCTCGCAGTACTTCACAAAGGCGTTTTGATTCGCCGCACTGTGCATTTTGAAGTCAACCAAGATCAACAGTCAACGTTTACCAAGCAACACAATACGTTGGGTCGTGCAGCATCGCGCTCTGGTGGCAGCTCGCATGAGATCGCACCAACATTGGTAAAGAGCGCTCAGCCCAGTCACAACTTCTCATGCAATCGGTATCCGTCGAGCATCACAAGAAATACTCAAACATCAATGATATCGCGATAGCCGAGATCGTAGCTCCAGAACTTGAGGTTTTGTGACACGAGTCAGAACCATGCCGTCATCCGCCGAAGACACGCCTTCGCAGCGAAAAATTGCGGGGGCTCAGAGCGGAGCGATAGATAGCGGCCGTTGGAGATACAAAAGCAGGGAGCATGTAATCCGTAGCGCTTACAGTTGAATCCTTCGACATCAAGAGAGCGATATAATATCACGTGCAATCATGGTCAAGATCGCAGTCGCAGGCGGCACCGGAAGTATGCTTCCCCTTCTACATATGCTTACCCCGCCTCTATCGAGACACCAGATGACACTCCTCTATTGCTAGAAGTATGAGCATACCGTACCTTGCTGACGCTGTCCAAAGACGTCGCAACCAACTTGCTCAAAGCCACAATAGCCTCTGGCAAGCACGAAATCACCATCTTCACGCGATCTGCGCCAACTAAATCCCACCCATCCCCCAAAGTCACCTACAAGCAAGTCGACTACACGGACCTCAATGGCCTCACCACAGCTCTCCAGGGCTTCCACACCCTCCTCTCCTTCTTCGTCGTCCACCTCGACACCGACAACGTCGCCCAGAAGAACCTAATCCACGCCGCCATCGCCGCAGGCGTCTCTCGCTTTGCGCCCAGCGAATGGGGTATCGCAAACAACGCCGGTGTCCCCAGCTACGACAACAAAGACTACATCCGGAAGTACCTCGAAGACCTAGACGCCAAGGGTGAATTGGGAAACATGCAGTACTGTCTCTTCCAACCGTCTATCTTCATGGACTATTTCGCCCATCCATACCCGCTCGAACGCGATCTCTACACCTGGCCTTTCTTCCTCGACTTCGAAAACCGACGTGCCATGGTTCTAGATGATGGAAACCAACCCATCGTCATCACCGCCATCCAAGACGACTGCGAGATACTCGCTCGCGCGTTAGACGACACGCGCCCGTGGCCGAAGATCGGTGGTATCAGAGGTTGCCGCACTTCCATCAACGAATTGTTGGCTCTAGGCAAGAAGATCAGAGGCGGAGACTGGCTCGTCGAGTATGTCAAGAGCGAGGATCTAGCAAAGGGAGAGCTGAAAGCGAGTTGGTTGCCGTTGATCAGTCATCCTACTGTTACGGACGATGTGAGGGAGAGCTTCAGCAAGGCCTTTGTTATCATGTTCTTTGAGGCGATTAAGAGGGGGGCTTGGGATGTTAGTGATGAGTTTAATCAGCGGTTCCCGGAGTACAAGTTTATGAGTGCGGAGGAGTATTTAAGCAGGGCTTGGGAGGGGAAGCCTTAGATGGAGATTATTGGATACATGGCGGGGTAAATCAAGGTGAGCGGGAATGGTAGCGAATGAAATTTTCTTCATATAAATATCTACAAGAACAAAAGAGCAAAGTATATACAACCAACCTCTACCTGACGAGCCCTCCCCATCTACAAAAAGTAACTCTTGATCTTGGGCAAGATTCCCGTCCAAGCAACTCCCGTCGTAGGCTCCATGTTGTAGATGTAATCGGCCCACCACGGTCCCGCTGCCCACCAGATCCCTCCCAGCCAGACATCGTTGTTCTCGCCCATGTACTTCAATCCATCCTGTAACGCCGAAATACACTGCACATTGTTCCCACCCGCAAACTCGCCAATAACACCCTGCTTCTTGTTATCCTTGAGCCACTTAGTCGCAGCCTGAAGTCTCTCTTTGAAAATCGTGGCGCTAACACACGTGGCCGAAGTACCAGAGCCATCAGTATCAAGGTACTGATGCATTTGGTACACGAGTTTGTTCTCCGGGTCTTTCAGGTTAACCATGCTGGCGCCGTTACCAGAGCTAATCCACGTCCACGCGCCGGTCCAGCTGTTGCCTTCGGGTGTGATGTATTGTTTTGTGGCGCCTGCGGCGCGGATGCCGTCGATGGCGGCTTGGTTGAGGTCGAAGACGAGCTGTTGGTCCATGTCGTGGTATTCGTTGTTTGTGTCGAAGACTACGAGGTCGTTGTCTTTGTATTCGGCGGCCACGTTGGTCCACCAGGTTTTGAAGGCGGCGGTGTCGGTGATGATGTTGCCCAGGAAGCGACCATAATTATGAGGTTGAATCATGGCATACGAGCCTTTGGAGGTTATGTGGTTTACTTGCTCGGTGAGGTTGCCAAGGTAGAGGGGGTCGAAGGCGCCGGTGAGGGAGTTGGGGGTTAGGCGCTCCATTACTGGGTAATGTTAGGTCGGGGTTTTGAGGAGTTGTGGGTTACGGAGGTATGACTTACGGAAGTTCAGGCGGAACATGTTCATTCCCTCGTCCATGAACTTGTCGATGGTGTTGAGATCGTACCAGGTGTACTCTTTTCCGTAGACACCAGTGAAGTTCTTCTCGCCAAATTCGGCACCAGACTCGTTGATTCCGAACCACTTCATCTTGCGAGAGGTTTGGCGTTTTTCAGCAGGAGCCGCGAAAGCGGTGCTGGCCAGAGCGGCCGCCGCCAAAAGAGTCTTGAATAGCATGGTGTAGAGATGCGAAGAATACTTCCACAGTCCTATGTTTCACCTGCTGGGCAAACATTCCTTTTGTACCGCGAATAGTCGCATGCCAATGATTCAATGCCCCACAAGTGGACGGGCTTTGCCTTCCGTTTCTTCCATGGCAATGAGTGGGCCTTCATCTGATGCCAATATGAAAGTGATGGATGTGGCATCATAGTTCTGAAGCTTTGAAGCCGCGGTGCCTGATAGATTGCTTGGCCATATTAAGGGAAGCTTCAATAACCGGGATCGTGGGTCATGCGCGGTGGCTTTGCGGGGACGCAGGGGTTACGATTCGTGGGGAGGTTACAACGGCCTGTCGGCAAAGAAAAACGCTAAGATGAAACCATCGCGCCAACTGTCGAAGTTCTGCAACATGGAGAATAAGTAATCAGGTGCGTATGTGACACAATAACTTGCGCATGATACTCCGCCAATGAATGTCATCGAAAACCGGCATTGGCCCTTGCATGCCGAGGAAGCTTCGTTGCATAGTCCTCGCATATTAAACCTCCTTGATCCTTACCGCATTCGTCTTAGCTTCCCATCTGCCGGCTGTCTACCCACATGTGAGTTGAATTGACAGACTCCGTGTTGAGAGAGGGAAGGCGTGGGCGTGCTAAGCATCATGGGGCAAACTCTTGATTGAACGTGATGCGAGACAGCAAATCTGCTCACTGCGAGGGTTTTTTGATCGTCGCATCGAACGGTCTGCGGAACGCGGTGCGCATCTCCGCCTTGCACGCTGCAGTCGTAGTCATGAATGGGTGTTTAACACTCGGGCATATAGACGAGGTTGACGCTGATCGTACCTAGAATTTAGTCTTGCAGGAGTAGCTCACAGATGAAACCCGGCGATGGCAGAACTGGGTATCTAATCATTTCTTTGCCCGGTCATACATACGCCGATCCCCATGCGAACATGGCCATTCATAAAGCCAAGTACTTCAATTCGCTATTCGATAGGAAAAGAAACGCATAGGTTGCCTTTACCGTCTAACATTGCGCCGACCAGCGCTAGGGAAGACATTCCTCGAAGGCGCAGTATAATTGTTCCCAGCAACGCTACTGAAAACATTACGGCTACTCCTGACGCCCGCACGCTGCAGGTTCTCCCATTGAGGCTGGACCCGGGCAGGTGGACGGCTTGGAACAATGGAAGGCATGATAGAGGGCACCTGACCGATGCGGGAACGACTTGGGCGATATGCAGGCGGTACATCAACCGCTGCTTGGGAATAATTGGGCGCGTCTCTATTGTAAAGTTCTCGGTTTTGGGAAGAGCCATAGGCACTGTCGCTGGTATATGGTGAGCGTCCCTCTTCCGGGCGTATGATGAAGCCACGTGAATTAAGATGACGTCTTTGATGCTGATGTGAGTGTGGCGTTGGTGCTAGCTCTACCAATCTGCGGCGGTGGTCCACCTCGATAGGCTCGTTCCTAGAATCGACGGGTGAATCGAAGAATGAGAGGCCATTTAGACTGCGAGCCTCAACCCAGCCGGCCCGAGGTTGGTTCGTCCTTGACCTTCGTGACCGATAATCGCCGGAATGATCGGAACTATCCTGAAGTTCAGCGCGGCCGGGCGATGGATAGACTCGGGCCTGGTTATGACCGGTTCGGAAATAGGGACTTACTACACTCTCGATCTGATGGCCGGGATTTTGTTGGCGTCTCGGTACTGGCGTAGTGGGGCCAAGATCCGGCATGCCGTGAGCTCTGTTTGTGTATTCGTTAGTCTGGTGGTCGCTAGAAGGATATTGACGCGCATCGACAGAGGCCGGAGATCTGTGTGGCGACTGGTGCATGAACGGATGTCCAAGATCCAAAGGCCTCCGGTAATCAACTGGTTCGGCGTTGTGCTCATGCCGATAAGCAGGTAGTACTTGCCTATTCCTGCTATCGTTACGATGATTCGTGCTCGTCTGCTCGCGAGGGTCTTTCAGACCTAGCTCCATCCCATTGTCGCGCGACAAGCCATCCATAAGACGAATGTACGAGGGCTCAGTAGGCAAATGAACCGGACGATGGCCACTGCTTTGCTTATCTATTTTGACTGGAGACGATGCTCGGAATGTGAAGTCTGACCGGTTGTCTTTGAGGCCTACACTAGAAAGTAGCTGCGATCCTCGAACGTCAGAGGCTTGATGGGGCTGTTCTACGGGCAGCGCTCCCGACATGTACGGTGTCTCGTCGCGGAAGTCATCGCGTCCTGGCTGATGACCGACTTCAACATCTTGCCAATGTCCGTTATCATACATTTGCACGTCTGGGTCGTCCTCAAAGGACCCATCTGCTGCAGACCTGGAGCGATCACTGGAGAACTTCTTTCGCAGGCTCGGAAACATCTTGCGCATGGATTGCATCCTGGACATCGGCTTTGGTGGAGGTGGCATGGCATCTCGGCTTGAAGGATGGCAGGCTTGGGTATTGGTGGGAAGGGGTGAATCGAGGCGTTGCCGCTTCATGGGTCGCGGGACAAAGGAGCCGGAAGATGCGGTTCCCAATCGTCCAGTTGTATGAGCCGATCTACCGGCGGTATGGCTTGAGGCAGTCGTTCGTAGTTTACCGCCCGATCGTCCGCTGCGTTCAGGCGAAGCTTCGTCGCTATCGAATGCGTGAGGGTCAATGCCTTTGAAGTTAGGTACAGGTTCTAGTGCCATCGCAAAGCCGAGTTGGGCAAGTCGCTTCTGCATCCTCTCGTTTTGACTGGAGCGGTTAGCAAATGCCTCGTAGCATGGCGTATTCGGCCTACTCGACTAGCATAGGCACAAGCTTCAAGTAATGGCGAATTGCTGACTTGTTTGCCAGGAATGTTGCGAGGTCCTTTGGGTTGACATCGCGAAAATGCGCAACCTCTTCATCGAGACCCTGGAGTCGCTGAACCTCGGCTTTCATGGCTTGAAACTGGTCCTTCTGCAGTCGTAGTCGCTCGTTCTCTTGCTGGAGTGTAACGACTTTCGCGTGTTCCTTGGAGGCAAGATCCTGCACACTAGCCAGTTTCTTCTCCATATTGGTCAAGGCTTCTTGAAGGGGCTTGCGAGTCGCATATGTGTTCTGGCAGTATCGAATAAGCGCAATATACTGGAACTGATTATTGTTAGCTGGCGTCATGACCTGTGGGTGACATGACGTACGCGCAATGCCTCCATCTCTTTCCCGCTACCATCGAGGCGGATGGGAGGCGCGGTGAACCATGCGAGCGGAATGTTAGGATCGTATTCATCTTTCTTGAAGCCGCGTATCGAGAAGAGATCGCGCGGCTCACTGTCGCCTTTCTCTTTGATACAGACGGGACAGGGTGATTGGGGTCGCTGTCCGGCTGTATGGAAAGGCGGTCCTGTCGTGGCTGTCAGCAGCTGCCTAATGTGCGGTCGCGCTTCACTTACCGCCGCCCTCCAAATGACTGCTGCAGAAGACATGACAGCAACTGGCGAGGAACAGGCGCGTCACAAGGCGCTCTTTTGGGTTGATACCATCTGACAGGCCACGGACTGTCTCGTTGTGGCCTTCGTAGACATCGGCGAAGGAGGCGCAACACACCGAGCAGGCGTAGATGAAGTTGAGGGGATCAGCGCCCAGCTCTGTTGGTCCCTTCTCCGACACAGCGCTCATGACTGCGGTTGTGACGATGTGGAAAGAAGGACAGGAGTGACGCGCGGGTGGGAGGTGGGTGCAGTTGGGATATGGAAGTGACGACGAGGCAGTCGCTGTCAACAGCGCCAAGACATCAACACACGTCGTGCTTTCCTTTCTCGACGCGGTGACGGACGGTAAGGAACAACAAAGGATGCGAGGTGAAGAATTGACACAAACGCACGGTGAGACACAAGAGACATGGATCAGACATTCGGACACGTGCGCTCCACCTACAACACTCCCACGCGCTCATGACAAGGGGTGTTATGAAAGTTCACTGATGGCTACACGGAAAGCATGGAAGAAATGTCTCCATATATACAGAAAACGGATCATCTTTCTCTACCTACCCAGTTCATCTTGTACTCTAAGCAAACGTCCGGCATGGGTATCTGTATCGCATTAGTGTCGTTCCTGCAAAATCAGATGAAAAGACCTACGCTGTGCCATATGACTGCTCGTTCTCCAGCTCGTATCGCTTGTGTCCGCCAGCAAGGGTGTTGTGCAGCCCGCTTGGTAGCGGAGGCATACCACCAGGTCCCAGCACATCCTTTGCAAGTCCAGTATTCTTCTCAAACGCGACCGCCAGTCCCTTGGCGCCTTCCTCTTTCGCCGCGACCAGCGACTTTGTGCCTGCCTCGCCAATCAGCTCCTGCTTGGGTGCTGCCGCGCTTCCAACTTCGAGCAGCGCAACCGCGTCGGACTGGGTGACTGTCGAGAGCCTGGGGTATCGTCGTCGCACGTCGCGCTTCCAGTATGGGTTCTCGGCGATATCAGCGGCAGGGAGAGTGACAGGGTCGTCGTAAGAGTTGGGGTCGAGACCGCCTGGGGGTGGGTTGCGGAATTGCGGGTTCATGGGGATACCCGTGGAGCGCTTGGGGTCGAGCGCGAAGAGCCTGTTAATCGCGGCATAGATTCCGGTAGGCTGGACGGTGTATTTCTACAGGTCTACAGTCAGTACCAGTGTTCGCAATGGTTAATGGCCGAAGAGGGGCGGCGAGGTAAAGGCATTCGAGATCGGTTCGGGCTGCGTACCGAAAAGACAGTAGTCTTCACATTCTTGGCGACGGACATCTTGAGGGACTGGCCTTCCAGACAGGCTGCAAGGGTGTCAATGGGTCAATGGGCGGGTGCCGTGCTGTCGCGCGTTTGGGTCGACTATCGTGACGCTTGGTGATGTTCGCGAAGCTCGGTGGATGCCAAGACGGCACTATCCGCTTTGATACTCGCGCCATTTCATTCGTCAGGTCTGTCGCGAACACCAAGAACCGCGACTACACTCGCAATCTTTCGCCTTGGGTCTGATCTCAATAATATACCATCCTGCAGTCATTGTCTCCAGCCGGACGCTCGTCTCACGAGGTACTGGTGCTTCACAGTCAACGTGGCAGGCGATGAGAGCGTTAGCGATACCTCTCGATTACTCGCCTCTGAATGCTGAGTCTATACTCTTTGCCGGATCTGAGAAAGCATCCAGCTAGAAACGCTGATAGTAGATGGCTTGCAGCTCCAGCTTATCACTGCCCAGGTGCTTTCTACCACCCCCTTCAATGTTAGCCGCAGTGAACTTATCGTGTGCCTGCTAGATCAAGATGATATGAGCCCGCGTGCGTGCACGCGTTGTTGACTACCTAGGTATGCATGATGCAAAATCGTTCCTACCCCACTGCCGTTGCAACCGTGATTGTTGCCAGGCTTACGCGCACGATATCCGCGCCCTTCCAATGTGAAAAAGGTGGGATGGCACGGGTATCCGCACTAGTGTCCTCGCTTGCTGTGATATCCGCTGCGCGTGATTGCGACACGGGGTTCTGCATCGATATCCGACATTAGCCGTGACACGCCGCTACGTATACCCAAGACACCCGCTCGCCGATTCTGCGATGAGAAGGGCACGAGACTACTCCACAACGCTGTTATTCTTTGTCATCGCGATGGAGCTGGGATCAGGGAGGGTATTGCGGGACCTGCGGATGGTGGTGGAGGGTGAATGAGTACTTATGTACCTTTATCTGCACAGGATTTCGTTAGTGAAACGATTTTGGTACTCTCCTTCGTGCACACGAATTGTACAACTGCACGCGTGTTTGTGGCAATGATCTTTGTTCGATACCAATAACACAACACACATTCAACTCGCCTTGAGCTGTCGCAAATATGGCAATTCTATTCCTACTGGCCTCCATCTTCGGAGCGCTGGTTCTCTACGTACGTTGCTCCCCGTTCTCATGCCATTAAAAGCTAACACCATGCTCAGATCTTCGGAGTGATCGTTTACCGCCTGACTTTCCATCCTCTTGCATCATACCCAGGCCCTTTCCTCGCAAAGATCACAGACATCTATCTGGCATATTACGCCTACAAGGGCTCTCGGCATCTCGCTTTCCACCGTGCGCACGAGCAATATGGACCGTACGTCCGTCTTGGACCGAATCTACTTTCTGTCAACACCGCCACTGGTCTAAAGACCATCTATGGATTCCGATCAAATGTTAAGAAGGCGTCATTCTACGAAGCGTTCCCCAGCACACCCAAAGCGGTTAGCGTCCATAGCTCTATTGACAAGATGCAACATGCACGCAAGAGACGTGTCATGAGCCACGCCTTCAGCGACTCGGCTATCAAGAGTCTTGAGAAGTATATCCTGGCAAATGTACGTGTCGGCTGCGAACTGCTCGGACGCAAGAGCAACAACTGGTCTGCTGAGAAGAGCCTCGCCGATGAGAAAGATGGTGGCTGGAACGACGCTTGGAACGCTGCGCATTGGTGCGAGTGGCTCGTTTTCGACATCATGGGTGATCTAGTATTCGGCAAGGCTTTTGGCATGTTGGAAAGCCCTACCAATCGCTTCGCAACTCAGCTGGTTGGCAACGCGGCACACCGACATCTCATCTGCGGAACGCACCTTACCATTCACAACTGGCACCTGGACAAGCTCTTCTTCCGCAAGATCGCAGGCCAGCGAGCACAGTACATGCAGTACAGCAAGGGTCAAGCCATGGAGCGAACAAAGCTGGGCGTTGACGTTGATCGTAAAGACTTCTTCTACTACCTGCTCAACGCGAAGGACCCAGAAACCGGCAAGGGCTTCAGCATGGATGAGCTTTGGGGCGAATCAAACTTGCTGATCATCGCTGGTTCTGATACAACTTCAACGGCTATGGCTGGTGCCTTCTTCTACCTCGCACACAACCCCGCAGCGATGCAGAAAGTCTGCAAAGAGATCCGGGAAACATTCAATGATGTTGAGGAAATCGTAACCGGACCCAAGCTCAGCGGCTGCTCATTCCTACGCGCTTGCATCGACGAGACCATGCGTATGACACCCCCAGTCGCCGGTGCTCTTCCCCGAGAAGTTCTTGCCGGTGGTCTGGATATCGATGGTCGCCACATTCCTGCCGGATGCGACGTGGGCGTCCCGATCTACGCCATTCACCACAACGCCGACTACTTCCCTCAACCGTTCGACTACATTCCTGAGAGATGGCTATCTGATCCATCCGCGAACCCGCTTCATAGCAGTCTCCAGGCAGCGCAGTCGGCGTACAACCCCTTCAGCATCGGTCCTCGTGGATGCATTGGCAAGGGTCTTGCGTATGTTGAGCTGTCGGTAACGATTGCCAGGGTACTTTACTTGTATGATTTGAGACTGGCACCAGGCACGACATTGGGTGCTGGAAGCAAGGACTTGGAAGTTGGTAGGACAAGGGCGTCTGAATATCAGATCCAGGACGTCTTTGCTAGCAAGAAAGACGGGCCGGTCTTACAGTTTAGGGCTAGATGACACCTAAGTAGTTTGATCCATGAACCATGTTGTTAGATTTCTCGCAAGCGTTTGATGAAAGATTTTTTGCCGTACCAATATATCCAGTGGGCAAAAGTTTGGTCGAGCTACTCGTTGCACAGGACTGAAGGGCGTGACGGCCGCAGTTTCGCTGCTTTCGTGACCGTGTTATCGATAAGCCAGGTCTTGGCAAGCCAAGGAACTTTCTCTGTTTAGCGCGATAATGGCTGGCGTCTTTTCGAGCAGACGCGATCATTCGCCATCATCGATTGCGAATGCACATACCATCACCTCCGGACTAACACAATTGACTATGGCTGTACCCAGGATACTCTCTCGTGGGCGCTGTCTCTTTGCTCGGACAACACCTTCCGTACGCGTTGCTCAATCAGCTGTTCCGTTGATCAGAACATCAATTACGAAGCGAGAGTTCGCTGCCAGCCAGCTGAGGCGGGAAAATATCATCGAAACACCGTCGAGAGGACCAGAGATTGCACTCACTGATGCGCGCACTCCGATATCAAGCGCATCATCAGGGGTTGCTTTATTGGGTATACCAAAGCGACTGACGAGAGGAGAGGTCGAGGATCTACTACGATCAAAAGGATGCACCGTGTACGTCTTATAACTCTTCTTTGGAGATTTCGCAAACAGGGTATCGAGCTAACTTCCACCCAGCAAGAGATTGCAGATGCGTCTTGATCGCTACACTTTCCAGAACGACACCAGGTGTTTCGCGGAACTTGGAAGCGAAGCAGAGGCTGCCAAGGTCATTGCAGAGCTTAATGACGCAGAGCTACAGCGCAAGAAGCTTATCGTCAGGCCTCTCAAAGACGACTTCATTTGGGGCCCTGTGCAGGACAAGCGAGACCACAAGTACGCTACTCGCTACTTCTTTGACGAGGGCCCCGCCGCTGCACTCGAAGCTGTACACCCATTGCTCGAAGGTCGTCGCTTGATGGTTAGAGTTCAGACACCCGGTTGGACGTCCAATACCAGCATCGGCAAACAGAAACAGAACGCGCTGCGGATACTTGACGAGCAGTTCGCCAAACATGGTACCATCGAACGCATCAGTGACTTCGCGCCATTCTACGGCGATAAGAAAAAAGAACCGCGCATTCTTTGCTTCATCGATTTCGCAACCAAAGAGGGTGCAGACAAAGCGATCGAGAACATTCACGATACGGAAATCGAGGGTCGTTTGACGTGGCTGACGCGTTCTGAGACCAATCAATACAGGAGCCACCAAATTGGGAAGGTAGCCCCAGAGGCGCTCAAACAACTACAAGAACGTGGTGTGGCGCCTAAAGACGAAGAGCTTCACGAGGACAAGTTTGTCAATCCGCTACCGAAGAAGGAATAGTCAAAGCAACGATGGTGGGACGTGTGTGTTAAATGAGCTAAGACTTTACTCGACTTACACCACAGTTTGTTGTCAGCACTGTGTTCTAAACGCAGGCATTTGTCGACCTTTGTACATTAAAGAAAATTTCTACATTTATACGAAGAGGCCAAAATAAAAAGTACAGGCTGGCTTGCATCTTGTCTCACACCCACCACAAGTCTTCAATTCTTCCATAGTACCTAATGCTATGGTACAGACGTCACGCAAACCCCTGCGCTTACAACATGCAGGTAGCAAAGAAGTTTACGCAACACGCATGTGTTTGGGCGGGCGCTTGCCCTTATCTTACCAGCTGATATTTTCCAGCTCTTTGGCGTCGCTTTCCTCCCAAGGAAACAACTGCTCTGAAGCCTTGATCAACCGCTTATGATCCTCCGATCGCGGTTTGATCGAACAACGGTATGGCACAGGGTGACTGATCGCTCCCGGCTCAAACTTCACCTCCGGCTCCACAACGCGACCATCTCCATCGACGAATTTAGTGATGTCAAACACCGCGAGAGTCTGGGCGATGGTAATGAAGAGCGCGTTATCCGCCACGTATCGGCCCGGACAGATGCGGCGACCATATCCGAAGATGAAGTTCCGGGGATCAGGCTCACTTTTGTGCGAGGCTGTTTCGAGGAAGCGCTCTGGTCTGAAGACCATCGGGTCGGGGTAGACTTCAGGGTCGTGCGTGAAGTGCCAATTATTGGGTAGAAGGATGGAGCCTTTCGGAATGCGATACCCGCGACAGGTGTCTTCTTCCGTGCTGCAGTGTGGAAGGCACATTGGTGCGACGAGGTGCCAGCGGTGGGTCTCTTTCATGATTGCTTCGATGTAAGGAAGACTTTCGCGGTCTTTACTGACGGGTAGCCGGCCTCCGCCAATAACGCGATCTAGCTCTTCTTGGGCCTTCTTTTGAACTTCCGGGAAGACAGTCATAGCAAGGAAGAAGGTCATGATCGAGGACACGGTCTATGGATTGAGTCAGTAAAGTAATAGAGGCGCCGATAATGGCATACAAGCTTACCGTATCAGCACCGCCCAGGTAGAGCGCTAATGCAGTCCACTTATGAACAAACTCCATCTCAGCATCCGAACCGAGACCTTCAATGCATTGCGACAAGAAAGACGGCGAATGCCTCTTCTCTCTCATTTGCTTCTTCACGAACTCATACGGTTGATTCGTGCATTGGCTGAGCTGCGCCGCCATTCGTCTCGCCGTGTCTTTGAACCCCGTACCTGGCAGCCATGCTGGCAAGTACCGCACTAGCCGACGTCAGAGGCCATATTAATCATCAAGAAGCGATACTCACAGAATGGAAAGATGTCTACCGACCACTTCCCAGGAACTGTAGCATCGGCGAACTGCTCCATAGTCTTGGCGGCCATATCAACGAAAGGGTCGTTGCCATTGGCGACAGCAGTGTAGCCGTAGGTGATCTTGAGAATGACACTGCCAGCCTCTTTTCGTATATGATCAAAGAGCTTGTCGGGTGACTCTAGAAGGTTGAGCAGGAAGTGCGCGGCCTCCGTCTCTTGCGCTTTATCAAACACGGACACGGAAACGTTCGTGCTCGCTATCTTGGTGATATTCTTACGCTGAATTTTCCATTCTGCGGAATACGGGGTCATCGCAATTGCATGACGCCATCCTACCCTGTCCGCATGGTCAGCGAGCACTTCCCTCGCCTTACTATGGAGCTCTCCACATACATGTCACCACTAAAGGTCTGGCTGGGTCTCGAAGAATGAATCGCTGAGCGATCGCGCAACAGCTCGAATGCGATCTCAGGGTCGTTAATGATGATGAAAGTCTGCCCTAGCACTGTGACGGAACTAAGAGGGCCATAGACATCCTTGTGTCGTAGCCAGTGGTGGCACTCAAGCATGCCGGATTTGGGCATATCGTTGACATTTCCAAGAATCGGGAGGCCCTTTGGGCCCGGGGGAAGAGGTCTCGCATTCTTTCTCCCCAGATGCCAACGGGTGGCGTAAAGTATGGCAAATGCAGCGAAAGCAATAGCAATCGTGGCTGATAGTACGATAGACATGGTGATGACAGTGATGAGGGAAGCCAGTTGCCGGGATTGTAAAATGATCGAGATATATGTCCTGCCAAGCCAGATCCTTCGCCATATCAGTATCTTCCTGCGTGATGACGGCTCGCTTAGAACGGCTGCGCCGCATCAATGCAAATACAAAGTGCTCGAGAACATTTCCGCCAGTAGAATAAAGCGTAGCAATTCCCGCAGGATTTGGACCGTGTCGAAAGGGTGAATTTGTCAAATTCTGAACGTCAACGTTATCGGTTGCGGCACAGACCTGTCAAGGAATGGCAAGCCCTGGAGTCCACCAGTGATCGTCTTTTATTGCGCGCGGACCTTTTCGAGGCATGGTGATTTGACGGGGCGACTAAAACAACGGCTATGATCCATCGGATCCTGCGAGCTGTCACACGCTCAAGAAGGTAACCCCCTTAACGTATCGTCTCTGAACTGAGCCATGAATCATGCGTCATGTTGAACATGTACTCCCAACGCTTTGTTGGTAACAAATCTTGCGCTGCTGCGCACCTTCCCACTCGATCATCGTCGCGATGAAGTTCGTCCAGTACTTTGCGACATTCGCCATCTTAGTGCTACATATACTCGCACAAGACGATCTTTTGCGAAAACTACCAACTTGTGCAGTTAGTCGATGACCGAACTTTCGTGGCACCAGCGGCTAAGAACCACAGGCAAAGTGTTTCCAAGCTCTTGTACCCTCGAGCAATTGCAAGCCCGACAACTTCGACTGTCTGTGTGCCGACACCACCTTTCAGACAGCATCCGCGAATTGTAATGCTGAAAACTGTACTGTTTCCGCATCACTCAGTGCGACCAACGAAACCTACGCGGCTTGCGGCATACCGATCCGGGACGAGAGCGAGACAATGATCGCTGTCACGGCATCTATCGGCGCTCTTGCTGTAACAATGGTTATCTTGCGACTGACAGATCGGTTCTTCTCAGCCAAGGCAAAGCTTGGGCTGGACGACCTACTCATCGGGCTGGCTGGGGTAAGTCATGAGCGTTGAGCGTGCAGGGCGCTAGAGCTGACGAGGGGTAGTTGGCCTCGTTGTTCCAGAACGTCCCTGTCGTTGTCGGTAAATCCCTCCCAACACTCCATCTATAGATGAAATGGTCGACTGATGGGCCTCCTAGCGGGTCGTCTCGGATTCGGAAGAGACATGTGGGGGATATCGCCAGCGGCGATAACAAATAGCTTCAAGGTAAGCCTCGCCTTTAGCGCCCGTTATGAAGCTAAATTCCGCTGCAGTGGTTGTACGTTAGCTATTTCATGTACCAGATCGCAGAAGCCTTTTGTCAACTGTCCATCCTGGCTTTTTACCTGCGGATCGCAACCTCGCCAAAACTACGCACGACCACGTTTGTCCTGATGGGGATTGTTACCTGCTTCGGTATCGGCAATACAGGAGCCATGATGTTTCAATGTCAACCTATCTCGTTCTTCTGGGACGGGTGGAAAGGCGAAACAAGTGGCCGATGCACCGTCGACGTTCGGCTGTTTGGATTCATTCGCGGCGCCATTGAGATCATGCTCGACGTGGCAATCCTATCGTTGCCTTTGCCCATGCTAGCGAGACTACAGATGTCCTGGAAGAAGAAGGTCCAGATTATCTCTATGTTCGCTGTGGGCTTCATCATCTTCATCGTCAGTTGCCTTCGCTTATGGGCTCTCGTCCGATTCGATCAGAGCTCAAATCCGACTTGTGAGTACTGCTCCTCCTGTTGGCTGCGCAATGACTGACCGCGCAATCATAGACGACAACGTATCCGGTCTTTACTGGTGTGCAACCGAAGCCAACCTCTTTATCGTAGTCGCATGCATGCCGGCCATGCATGCAATATATCAGCATACGCTTTCAAGGATATGCAGCAAATCCGAAAGCTCCGGGAAGCGCAGCTACGTCTCTAGTGACGATCGTTATCGCATGCGAAGATCAGGACATCGACTGTCTCTGGGTGGTATCTCGAAGGCTATCGATATTCAAGTCAAACGCGAGGACCTCTCGGAGTCGGATGTCGAACTCGTAGGCCGGGCAAACTATTAATGAGGCTTTTGGTGGCGGAAGAGTGCGTGTGGGGTTGAGAGCGACGCATCAGGCGTGTAGCGAAGACTGGCGACATCTCTGTCCTCGATGACCTGTAGACAGCCTGACTAATCGCCGCGAAGTTCGTCATGGGAAGGCTATAGCTTCCGCACTGCACATATCTGCTGAGGTGCGAGATGGTAGAAGCTGCGATATCTAGAGGTAGCGGCCAATGACGTCATTACCTACCTACGAAGCAGCTACCCTGATCGGGCAGACCATCAAGACTGAAGGGCAACACTTCCGTCCGTTTTCGTTCCTCCATTCCACTTTGCGAGCATAACAACTACGATTTACTACAGTGACCGCTGCATCATGGCGCTCAACCCTGAGTCGACCGGTCTGACGACTCCAACAGGCGACCAAATGTAAGCTCTCCACCTTGAAGGCTAACGCGTACAATTCTGTTCAAGACATGGGGATGTAATCGCTGACCGGAATAGCGCGCAGGTCAACCAACTTATATCGCCTCTTCTACGACTTCCTGCAGAACTTCGTAACCTCGTCTATCTATTCACGTTGACAGATTCTGTGATACGTATGCACCCACGGAAAGGCGAACAAAGCGCGACCAACGCTATGGGTCTCATTTGCTGCTGTCGGCAGCTCCGCCGTGAAGCCAACTCACTCTTCTATTCTACAGCGACCTTCGAAATGGAACTGGCCATGATTTATAGCCACGAAGCCGCTATCGTCGCCATTAGAGCTGAGCGGTGTGCGCGGATCACCTCGATTCAAACCTCTATGTCGTCGGTAGAATTCCAATATGTACACTGGGGTTACCCGGCGAAATGGTTCCAGGAAGAGGTTGAACCTCAAGGAAGGGCTAACGCAAACGCGTTCCCGGCTTTGAACACGGTTCACGTCAAAGGTTCGAGGCTACAATTGTCAGCCCTCAGTTCCGATACTAGGGCTCACCTTGTGCGCGCATTGCGCCTTGTTTATGGGAAGCCAGCCATCGAGGTTGTATTTGAGGCAGGACTGGAGGGTACCCTGAGAGCTGCCGATGATGGACAACCGTGAAGGCGAGCCGATTCTGGTCATTGTCAGTTGCTAGTGACTTACTCCGTTTTCACGACGTATGTATCGGGTCAATTGCAGGTCGTCAAGGCACGGGGTGTGAATGGAAAATCGTATGTTCCTGGAATGCTTGAGCTGAGGCACTGCCATTAAATCCCCACGCGCTCTTGAACCCGCAGTTGTATCTAAACACCTACACTCTCTCATAATTCTTTTCCAGTGCCCAACTCCAACCACCAATATGTCCTCAACACTCACATCAGAGATGCAGGATTGGATTATGACTCCCAATAGAATACAAGCCATGTAAGCGGCCTCGCATGTTCGTTGATCAATCGCTAATAGGCATAGTACAAAGAGGAATCAGCTTACCTCGGCTCTTCTTCGGCTTCCTAGTGAGCTGCGTAATAAAATCTAGGAATACAGCTGTCTAGGCAGAACAATCAAGTCAGTTTCGTCCACATACGAAGGTGCGCCAATCTCTAACCGCGAGCCTGTTGGCCTCCTGTTCGCATGTAAGCAAATGCGCTGTGAAGCGACTCCACTCTTCTACCGCTTGTCCACCTTCGATATCGGAGACTTCAAGAGCTGGGAAGACCTAACGTCCATTCTGTCCACGCCACAAAACCGGACGATTGCCACGATTTGGCTCAAACCTGTGTGTCGCCTCGTTCCACATTCTCAACGCGCGCCCCAGCATGCCATTAAGCGTATCGGCCTCCGGAATGTCAAATCCGAATCGTGGCGCCTGTTTTGGGGCACTGCTTTACAGGCATACTTCCATGGACACGAACTGGATGTCATACCTCTAGGGTGGATGAAGACTTCGAAAAGGTACCTTCGCCCAGCCCAGAAAAATGAGATAGGTCGTAACTGTAATCGCTTGATGGATGGGCACATGATAGTCTGTAGTGATGCCGAAAGTTAGGATCGACAGCCCGATGCCTTGGATAAGAAAAGTCTATTGACTGCCACCGGAAGCTGAGTCGGGGATCGCGTGATCGGAACTGTGCCCGTGTGGAGCACAGGCAATGACCAGGCGGAGCAGGAACTGGATAGATGGCGGCTTTAGCATGTGTGCCAGCGATTTAGATGGTCGGACAACGAGAAGGATGATTAGAATGCAACGGTCTTTAGGATAATCTCCACCGGTGCAGTCGCGAACTAGGAACATTATGATTGCTGACAGTGACGTAAGCTGAGATGGAATGCGGGGGGTGTTCGGCCGAAGCGGTTAGCCTCGGCATCGGGGATGATGGCCGCCCCGAAGGCATCTTCGTAACAACGCGAGTTGTGCCCTTACGCCTTGTTTTGACCCACTGTGATACTACCACTCGAAATGAGCGCGGATGATCAGACGCCGAGAGTGGTACCTCCAAGTCGACGAAGAGACAAGCCCATCTTAAGTTGCACCCTTTGTCGACGACGCAAGTAAACAATCAGCTTACCTGCCCAAAAGAATTGCATGCTAATTGACTGGAGGTTGAAATGTGATCGACAGCAGCCATGCAAAACATGTGTCGATCGCGGACTCTCACTGTCGTGCGTCTATGTTCGCAACCCACCAGTGCAAAAAGAACCCAAAATCCCAAACAGCGTGCATGACAGGATCGACCAACTCGAGAAGCTCGTCACCAATCTCATCGGTGGAAACGCTGTCAATACAGCTAATCCCGAGCTTTCCAGCCCATCACAAGCGCGGCAACATCACAACGGTGGAAGTAATGGCGAGTTGCCTGGCACGCCGGATCGCGTAAATCTCAGCTGCGACGCAACAAGCTATACGAACAGTGGACATTGGACAAGCATACTTGATAGCGTACGTGAAACCTCTCACAGAGACTCTTACCTCTCTAATTCCAGCCCAGATATCAGAGCTGCGCGAACATCTCGATCAGGTGCCCGTGTCGCCCGATCCAGATGACGAAGTGGTGAATGAAGTACCCGGTCCAGAGCTGCTGTTTGGACGTAATGCCCATGCGACTAGAGAAGAGCTCCTCGCTGCTCTTCCTCCGCGGCCAGAAGCGGATCGTCTCATTGATACATTCTTCATGTCAATGGAATCTCATCCAAGTATGCTCACTACCTCGGTTGAAAGGCGTCCACTGATGTCTCCAGCCCTCATCCACAAGCCAACCTTTCTCAAACAGGTGAGGTCATATGATCATTTCTACCTCTAGTAGCTAATGATCATACAGTACAATGAGCTGTGGACACAACCATCGGAAACTTCAACTATGTGGTTGGGTGTACTCTACGCTGCACTGGCACTTGGCTTTCGTTTTCAAGCCGCGGTGAACGCTCATCAGCTTGGCGATACTGAACTGGCTCCTGATCTGGCACGGATCAACTTCTATCGCGAGAAGGCTGCGCAATGTAAGCAGAAACTGGGTACAAACTACATGTGGTGCAACTGCTGAGTCCATACGTCGATATCTAGGTATGGTTCTTGCAAACTACACCAAAACACCGCCATACACGATCGAAGCGTTCTTGTTGTATTTTGGTACCGAATTTCTACGCTCAACCGACAGCCAGTTCAGCATCTACATGCTTGTTGGCATGCTTGTACGTCTTTGTTTCCGAATGGGATACCACAGGGACCCGTCGAGATTTCCGAACATATCGCCTCACGAAGGTGAGCTGAGGCGTCGTAAATGGCTCGTAGTCATGTCGCTAGATTTTACCACCTCTTCTCAAGCCGGACTGCCACGGACGATCATGCCGCAAATGTACGATACCCAAGAGCCCCGCAACTTGGGTGAAGACGACCTTCACGAAGACATGCTAGAACTACCACCCTCAAGGCCTGAAACTGAGTTGACGCAACTGCTTTACTCCATCGTTCTCACGAGGTTGCGAAGTGTGCAGGCCAGGATTGTAGATCTCGTCAATGCTACCTCGCTGCCACCGTACGGAGAGATCACGGAGATGGACGCCACACTAAGAGATGTCTTCGAAAAGATACCACAATCGCCAGCATCGAACACCTTCGACGATCTTAGTACCGATTTATCACCAGACTTCATGCGCTACACGTATTTGAACGTAGCCTTCTTGAAGGCCGAGCTTATGTTGCATCGACCCTACTTCGTACTCGGCCGAACCGATAGCAGATATGCATACTCCCGCAGGGTCTGCTTGAACGCTGCTATAGAGATGCTTCGCCTCCAGAGCAAGCTTGACGCTGAGGTCCAACCAGGAGGTCGACTAACTTCACCAGGGTGGCGTCTCTCTACCTTGAGCTGGTACATGTCTTCCATTATTGCGCAAGACTTCTTGCTCGCGACTACCGTCTTGGTAGTCGAGCTTGATGAGGAACTCATTGCTCCCATCCCACTGGGTTCTGAGCTTATGGAAAGCGGGGTGCAACTGGACCAAGCGTCCCCAACGCAAGAAGAAATCGTCGCGTCGTTGCGCTCCGCTTATCACATCTGGATCAGGGCTAGCAAGAGATCGCAGGAGGCGCGGAAGGTTGCTACAGCCGTGAAGCTTGTTCTCTCTAAAGTTCACGGCAGTGGGGTACAGGCTACCGACTCGGCGCACGGTGAGCGGCATCTTATTTACTACCCGCTTACATCTACTAACGTCATTGAAAGCGGCTCACATAGGTGCCCAACCTGATTTGACTTCCCCATCCCAGATTTTCGACATTAACAATCTTGGATTCGCTGTTCCCGACTCGGATGCATTTGACATGGGCAATAGTGCTTTTGGTCACGCGTTCGATTTTGGCTTCATGCCAATGGATCTGGACCAGTATACCTTACCTCTCGACTGGGTACGTTTAGCTCAGCTCATCGTTTGCTGTTGGACTAACCCATGGTTAGGGTGATGCGTTTCCCAACCTCCAGCCGCAGCCTCTTGGACAATATCCCCCAGGCTCGTTCTTCTAGCAGCAGAACAGCTGCGCGTTCGAGTATTTTACCAACTCTCGTTCACTCTTCGGCAACCAAAAGGCTTTGGCGAATGTACCCGAGCGACTTGGTGTCGCTCAAGCATTATGTTGAGAGGTCGCGATCGTCGCTCCTAAAGTTCGGTGTTTCAGTCGCACTAGTGAAGCGCTCCCCGTTTCTGCGGGAGCTACCACCTCGCATTCGCGAACTTCACGACCGCTCTCAGTTCGGCACGACGCGTACTCCCAATGCGTGGGCCCGGCCATGCGCAAGTTGTTTGGATGTCGACGAAACATCTCAGACCCCATCCATCTGAAGCTGGTTGTTGCTCCATGCCACGCTTTGGCCACGTCCTGCGACGCCGAAACAGGAACGCTGATCGCCAAATTTGCACATCCATCGCGATCTGGGGACTAGCAGGTTGTTTGAAACCACCGGTCTATCCCCGCGCAAGGCTGCATGTGCCGTATCCGCGACGATATATAGCAGGTCTATCATGCAACACTATAATCATGCGACAAGCCTACCACGTACATCCATGCTTCCCAGACATCGAGATTGAAGATTCCCGATAACCAGTAACAGTTGCGTCATGCTGCACGCATGTTGAAGCGCCTTACTTATCATCTCTGCGACAATGCATATGTCTTCTGCTATGGACATCATAAACCCGTACTTGTGTACTGACATTCGTCAGCACTGTCAGTCTCGTCGCTAGCGCCTTTCAACCACACGGTGTGTCGATGAGCAAGATGGATCACATAGAGGAGACCTTCTACACGGGAAAAGAGATCGCAATTGAGCCCGATCTTGGAGACTTGCGGAAGTCTACCGACAAGGCCCTGCCGGCGCCGCCCAAGACACCGAAAAGGGTGTTGATGAAGTACCGGTTCTCTGCTATCCTTTCGATCGCATTCGCGGTCGCAAGCTTCGTCTTCACGCTGGTACTGGTACTGGCGGGAAGCGATGAGCATATGTTTGGTGGACAGTACATCGTGGCAGTACGTATACCGACCTCGGTGAAATGAAGACAAATGTTGACGAACCGCAGCTGAATACAAGTACGATCGCCCGAGGGAGCTCGCAGTCAGATGCAACACCGAGACGATCCGAAGGCGTGGACGGCGAGGCACTAGCAGACGTCTACTATCTCTACATAAGGACAGTTTGTTCTGGCTCCATTTCCAATGCTCAAGACGACGCTTCCGATATCGTTGTCGTAGAACTATGCGAAAGCTACAGCGAGGCCAGTGACAGTGAGCAACACAATTCCGAAGGCATTTGAGGCTCGACTGACCATACTCCTGTAGGACTATTGACACTGACAACGCCAACTGATGGGTCTCAAGACCCACTCTCCCCAATCATCCTAGTCTCAACACTCCTCAGGACTATGGCTACCGTATTGGCCGGCGTGCGATACACCGTCTTCGCTTCCTTACTCGTCTCGCTCGTCGGTGCTGGCTTCTCCGCCGTCTCCGCCATTCCAGCCATCATCTTTCCACACTCAAAACTTCTCGCCTACTTCAACATCTTCTGGCCATTCCTTGCGAGCGCATTCGCCTTTGTCGCCGCCGTCCTGCTCACGGTGTTGATATCTGGGGTTTTCTCGGTGGCTGGTGACATCGTCGATGTTGCTGGGGGGAAGCTGATACAAGGTACATCCGTGCTTCTGATCGTATGGCTGGCATATGTACTAGTATCGTTTTCGGTCGCTTACTGGGGCGTTGTTTGGCTCGTGGAAGTCAGGCGATCAGGCCTCATCAGGAGAAAGAGAAGTGATGAAGAGGTCGGAAACTGGAAGAATATTGGGAAAGAAATATGGAATGATGTAAAAGGAACGAAACGATTATGATACCCCGCTCATATGTCGTACGCGGCACATCGTAGCAAAAGCATCCAGGTTGACTGTGCGTTACATTCCTGAGTATCTTGTGCTATGGTGAACGTGCACACACCCGACTTGTGCCGGTGCTAATCGGTACTTGCTCGCATGTTTTCCAGCATGTTCAGTCAGATCAGAGTCATGTGTCGAGAGTGTCCATCTTGGGGTGTGATCCAAGGCACGTGCGGCGTGGAGAGTCACTTTCTGAGTTGTGTCAAAGCTCTGAGTTTCTTTGTGTCGAGTTGGCTCTCAACGGTACGCGCCAACGATTGGTTGTCACGAATACTCGCTTCCGTCAGAGTCATATCGACTTCTGTGGGGTGGCACAACGAAGGCCGGTAAGACCACGAGCCGCTCCTGAGTGCACTTAGAGATTGATTAGCCATACCTGACTCTACCGATTCAAAGTCATATCTGCTCACACTATGCTGCTCGCGCTGAGTAGAGTCACTCAACTTTCCAACTATAAAAGGCCTTCTCTGGTGCTTCATTACCTTTGCGCCACACGATTCAGCTTTCAACAGCACAGCAGTCGACTCAACAGCCACACATATCAACGATCAACAAATCAGCATCAACTACAGCAACTAACCCTGGACTTGCCACTTTCGAGGCTATCCACATCCAAATATGTCCACTTCGATGCTCCCGCCACCGTTACCGCTCAAGCAGGGCCTCTTGACAGCTAAAAACCTTCATCACCGGTTCTGGCAATATGGTAATAGATACGGGCGTTACAAGACCACGGAAGAAATCGAAAGTGAGGACAACCCCACCGAGTTCTGGATTGAAGGCCCCCCGAGGCGTGCCAACTACAAGCGCAGTGAGGAGGATGTTATAAGTCACTTCACTACTCTTCAATCTAAACGAACAGAAGGGAAGTTGCCGGAATACGATCCTTACTGGGACAAAGAGCTCTTGAGTGACCTTACCAAGGCTGGGGGCACTATTCGCAACATCGTCACACTGGATCTTGGTAGTCTTTGCTACTGCGACGAATCAGACTTCGAAGGTATCGCGCGGGCACATCTGTTCGCTCGCGGTATTCTCAAAGTATTGTCCGACGCGGCAAACGAGGTGACAAGGTCGGGCAACCTTGACCCGTTAGAGGGGGCTAGATTTATTTGTGAAGATGATCACTACGGAAAGGAAGATCTCAAGTACCTTGGAATGAGTTACCTAAGTGACGGAACGGAGGGATGGACCAATGGCGGTCGCATCTTGCAGAGAAACAGCAACGAGGGCGTAGGTTGGTCTTACCTTGAAGGAGGCAACGGCGACTACATCTTCATCACCTTCAACCCCAAGAATCCCATTCGCCAGCTTCTCGCCAATTTGCTCTACACAGCCGATGAATTGAAAGATAGTTCAACCTGGAGGACCGCGAAGCTTGCCAAGCCTCGCGCAATCATTTGTCGAGATCCAAAAAAGGAAGGCATAGACGAGCGAGATCCAACTGATTACCGTGTCAGGAACTGGTTCAACATGCACTACGACCAAGTACACAAGTTTGATGAGGGTACCGGGAATAAGATATGGGGAGGAGACATCTATCTCTACACATTGAAGTCTAAGGGTTAGGGCAATGCCCCTTTGGATTAGAGTGTACAAGGCTCAGCTTAGGTTCATATTGGGACTTCGGAAGAAGTAATGATATATTGATAGTGATGGTATACTACAGTGTGAAACGGCCAATGCATGGCTTTCAAGGTTGTGTAATTAGATGCAGGCAGTCCATAGAATGACACTGTAGTAACATACTTGGTTCTCGGAATTGCTTGTTGAACCTCTAGGTATGGACGAGAATATTAAGGCACGATACTTTACTGGCATGTGAGCTCGACCAGGTGTGAAAGAATGCTTATGGCTGTCGCGATCATGGTGAAATACTGCTAGAGAAATCTCATATACCATGCATATTACCCACTGTTTGTAGCGTACTGTAGGCTTCGAAAGTTTAGAAAGAAGACTTCTAAACAGACATCTCTTGTGCAAGCGTTCTGTGGCTATGCTGACGCACTTTTCATGCATGACAAATGTGGAGTGTGATGAGATCCTATGCACAACGACATGCAATCACTGCCTTCCAATGACACTTTGCCAAATCGAACGTTGGTTGTACAAGATCTGAGCATCTGCCATGGCTACATTCCTCGCATGATACGCCCAGACGTTATATCATTGTGCGACGTTCTTCGAGTCGTTGCGAATTACGCAACCACCTCAGATACCCGGAAATGGCACTTGCACGGTTGCCTGCAAGCGACATTCCTGCTACCAGAGCTGAGCAGATCACTTTGAGTGACCATGCTTATAGCACAAACCACCTTGTGTGAATCAAGGTATTACTGCACTCATGGATAGTGGCACCAGATGGTTCGTGGGCCATTTTAGCCGTCTTAGCATCTCGCGGAGGTGATTTTACGTTTCACTGAACAGTCATAAACGTATAGATAGAACTGTTGTATTGAGCAATTGACATCGGAGTCATAGACTGGAAGATATAAAAGGCAACTGTTCTACACTCCTCCATCTACAACCACCGAATCGATACCTGCATACTCACGAAACAAGTTCAACAATCCACCAAGACAGATCCATCACTATGCAAGCGCGACAGCCACCAGCAGCGTCAGCAGGAGCCGACCATTTTGCTCGAGCAGATAAGGCTACGATCAGGGATGGTCTCACACAGGTGCCTGACAACGAAGGCGGACCATGGAGAGATTACGACAAGGTCGCCCACGTCGGACACAAGGGTATAGGGCGGCACCCTACCACTGCAGAGCTCCCTCAAAGGAAAGAGCTCGTTCGAAAGGGAGACCTCGCTCAAGAGGAAGAGTTTTGGATCAAAGAAGCGCGTTCTAAATTAGCTCACGACTGGGACGATAATGTCAAAGATGTCAGAAACACTTGGCACGAGAATCTTGCCTTCCCAGTACAAATCATTTTGACGAAGATCGGATACTCTCAGATGAAACGACCCGTCCCAGAACCAGACAAGCAACAGTGGGCATTGACGAACATAGTCAATCAAACACAAACAACCATCCGGAGAGCGGTATTCATGGGTTTAGGTACGATATCCAAAGCCGAAGGAGGAAAGTTCGAGCAAGCCATCTGTACCCATCTCTTGGCACGCCATGTAGTTGTCGCTCTGCTCGGGAGAGCGAAATGTGACTATCCGTAAGTCTGACCCATGGGTATAGATGTAAACTAACGGGGTATATCAAGTGTGGATACTCGTCCATTGGAGATCATCTTCGAGGATCCCCTCTACTCTGAATATGACATCAAGTTCCTACAAGAAGAGTTCATCATCGACCCTCTCGTCAAAGTCCGCGCGAGTAACGATGGAAGTGGATGGAGCGAGACACGCGTTCGAGTAGCACTGAACGAGAACACGTACGCGTTCATCACTTTCGGCCTGAACACTCCGCTTCGACAAGTCCTCGCTGGACATACCTGGGGAGAGAGAACACCTTACGCTCCATCCGCAGATTGGCAGCCACCGAAGAGACCCAGTCTTGTCATCTGCCGACCCTGGTGGGAGGAATCTGGCTTTGATCAGAGCGATAGTCGCGTTGTAAATTGGCTGGAGAGGTATTATGACCCATGGGAACTGTTAGAAGGCGATGTTGAGGGCGTGGGCAATTCGTGGGCTTATGTTTTGCATACGAGCCACTGATGACTGGTGGGAATGGCCTCTAGTCGAACTAAGTACATAGAAATGCGGATGAAATGGAAGATGGAATGATGGTTTGGACATATCTTCTACACATAAGCTGGTGACCTCAGGATGTCCTAACTTGGTGTTCTAGAAAGCAAGCTTAACGATCCAAACCGAGCTTTGGCCATGGCTTCATTCCCCAGGTTGGTCGTGTGAAGACTCAGAGTTACTGTGCGACACGTGCATTCATCGACCTTTCGCTTCGTAAACCAGCAAATGGTACTTCGGCAAAAGTATCATTAGCGACAAGCTGTAACACCAGAGCTTGACGGATAAATGTGGGCAAAAAGGACTCCTATAGTGATCATCTTGCGCGGCTCGAAGTCTTACGGTTCGGCAGATACAAAAATGTCCATAGGTTCACAGTAAATGGCAATCCGGCGTTTGAGGGACAAATTTATCTTTGGGTCTTGAGGCCCAGAGATAAATGGCTCCCAGGCTGTCGAACAGATGACTAGGTGCAGACCGGTCATAGAGGTGCTCATGTAGTTAGATATAGCTAGGCAGTTCATATAATGACACTGTAGTAGTCTCCTTAATACTGGGAGACGTTTGCCGAGATCCCACTCATTAATGTCAACATGGCATCGTGATGCTTGACTGAGATGTTGGCCTACTCAAATAGACACTCCTTCCCATGCGTCACGGACTTGCGGCAAAACCTTGAAAGACTGTTAGAGGATTCTGAAATGTGAAGTATTTGGTGTTTGCTGTGCAATTATCAACGGCGACGGAATGTGAGATCACGTCTTCGTCACACAATACCTGAGCATTGGCCATGACTGCATTCCAGGCTGGCCCACATGTTCGGACTCATTGTGTGACCTTTTTGGAGTCACTGTGAACCACTCAGCCGCTTCATGAGCCAATATATGGCACTTGCAATGGCAGATGCCGACTTGTGCCGTTGTACAATAGCCCGAAGAGTTGAATCGAGTAACTTGAAACAGGGTCAATTGCGTAGGATTATTGCTCAGATCATGGAAGATACCAGGCTGTGGTTCGAGGATCCTGTTAGTCTACCCCAACTCGGTGGGACTGTGCGCCTCATCGTATGGTCATACTCGTATACGGATGTGACTCTGACTTTGAGTAGACAGTGTTTCGAGTCATACAGGAAACAGTATAAAAGGCGGCTTTGGTTACCCTCTTCGTTGATCACTATCAACTTGATATTCCCATCTATACTAGTATACCAACTACATACGAACCAAACAAAGTCACCATGCAAGCTCCACAGCAAGCCCTAAAACTATCACTGTCGGAATCTTTTCCAGGGCCGACGATAGATCAAGTGAGGCAACTAGCCCCAGTACCTGATGACCAGATCAGTATTTGGAAAGACCCCAATAAGGTCGCTCACGTCGGTTTCCACGGCCCAGGACGACATGCTACCACTCTTGAGCTTGCGCAGGGATGCCAATCCTGGTGGCCGGATAGCCACGATAACAGCGAATACGATAGAGATGTCAAGAACATTTGGTACTCTACTTTGAGATGGCATATGGGGGAGATCCTCAGCCGAGATATCAAGCGACCCATTGTCAAGGCTGGCAAACGACCAGAGAAAGAGCTATTCCCGGAGCCTGAACTGCAAACCATGCTCAAGAAGATGGGCAAGACGGTCCGGAGGGTCGTTGTGATGGGGCTTGGAACACTCGAAAAGGCTAAACAGGAGGACTTTCCTCACAACTATCGATCTTACATGTTGGTCCGGCAGATTATAGGCAGTTTGTTGGAGATGCTGAGGAAGGAATACATCAAGGATTGGAGGTAGGTCTTGGCAGCACAAAGCCGTCAAACTGAAAGCACTGCAATTCACAGACTAACAAGTATGGATTAGCGAAAAGCCACACGTCGAAGTCATTTTCGAAGATGATTGGTACACGGACTTCGACATCGAATTCTTGAGCAAAGAATTCTTCGTCCTTCCTGACGTGAGAAATGAGGTGAGCGTCTCAGTCCGCGCAAGCAATAACGGAGGTTGGTTAGACGCAATAGTACCAACTGATGGCCGCGGTGGATGGATGGGTGATGACTGGATGTTCATCACGTTCAACACGAAGACGCCCATACGGCAAGTCCTCGCTGGACACGTCTGCGGGCCCGAGCCGCCTGAGCCGCCAAACCCTATCCAAGGGAAAAGAAAGAAGCCGATGAAACCTAGCGCGATCATCTGTCGACCTTGGGGGGATCAGGATCCGGAATCATGCGATTCATCAGATGAACGCGTTAAAAAGTTTTTTCAGGGTTACAATCAGATAGAGCTGCTGAAGGATGACCCCAAGGGGCTAGGTCATTCAGTCTTTCATTATTTGGAGCCTCGAGAGGTCGGGAAATTCGACGAAGAGCGATAGTGAGATTGGCTACTTGACTATGGGCTCAGACTGTAACTAGAATGGAATGATATCTTCGTCTGCTAGTGCTCCTGGCATATGTAAGCTGTCGTGGGAAAGAAAGTGATGATGTTCTAGAAGGCAAGCCTATCGTTCCTGCGCTAGCGGGGTGGCGAACGGAACGTGTTTGTCAGCCAATCATGGCGTGACATCGCCCCACCGCCTCCGCTAGCGCCAAGCTCAGGGTCAAGTACTCCACAAACTTCGAGAGCTGGACCCCTCTGCCCTTCACACACCCTGCAATTGTTCTTTACAACTGCCCAACATGCGGTCTTCAGTCTCTACCGCGACAGTGCCGTCCAAGGAGCCTGTTCCCCGAAGCTTCACTGTCAAAGGGGAGAAACTGCAGGAGCCAAAAGCCCCAAATGAACACGACCACTTTTTCTGGACATACACCGAAGAGCCCCATAGGACACGGCGAATGGCCATCATCAAGGCACACCCTGAGGTATGATTACTATGAAATCGTTTCCATTGAGCATAATCTAATCGTACACAGGTAACGAAGCTCTGTGGCCCTGAGCCTCTCACCAAATACGTCGTCCTACTCGTCGTCTCGATCCAAGTCCTCTGCGCATACCTCCTCCGCGACACGCCCGTCATATCATGGACATTCTTCCTCACCGCATACGTAATCGGTGCCACGGCCAATCAGAACCTTTTCCTCGCCATTCACGAGATATCGCACAACTTGGCTTTCCGATCGCCTCAGGCAAACAGGATCTTTGCCGTGTTTGCGAACCTGCCAATTGGCATTCCATACAGCGCCTCCTTCCGACCCTACCATCTGACACATCACAAGTCGCTGGGTGTCAATGGCCTCGACACGGATCTGCCCACTGCTTTTGAGGCAATCTTCCTCGATTCGGTTGCTGGCAAGGCCTTCTTCGCGACCTTCCAGATCCTCTTCTACGCCCTCCGACCTATGTTCGTTTACGCCCTACCAATGACCAAGATTCACCTCTTCAATGTCGTCGTGCAACTAGCCTTCGACTTTGCGCTCGTTAAATTTGCAGGAGGAAGGGCATTGGGCTACCTGATCATGAGCAGCTTCCTTGCCGGATCTCTACACCCGTGCGCAGGTCACTTCATCGCCGAGCACTACGTTTTCGAGAAGCCAAAAAAGGACCCGTCGAACCCCGCCAACAAGATCCCACTTCCCGAGACCTATTCGTACTACGGACCTCTCAACTTCTTCACCTACAACGTCGGTCTGCACAACGAGCACCACGACTTCCCTGCGATCCCCTGGACGCGCCTCCACGCGTTGAACCGTATCGCGCACGACTTTTACAAAGACTTGCCGCAGCACAAGAGCTGGGTGTACGTTATTTACCAGTTTATCTGGGACAAGGACATCAGTCTCTGGTGCAGGATCAAGAGAGAGGAGGGCGGCCGCAAGGTTGGCGCTGGCAGTGGATGGAACGAGGAAGAGTTGGGCTCCAACGAGAAGAAGGGACCCATCCCTGGTGTTCTATAGATCATTTTTAGATGATTTGCATATTTGGCGTTCTGAGCGGCCTGGTTTCATAAGAGCATAGAATCAAGAAGTATTATTCGTTACCAACAAATTCACTATTCAATGGAATACATCCTCACAGTAGTGGCCAGTCTGTTCGTGCTGACGACATATAGCACGACCAAGACAACTCAAACATGCCCAACAGCAGCGAGCTGCCAAAACGTCTTCCCCTCCCTCTTCACCTCCTGACAATAGGACCACCTCGTCCTACCCACAAACGCCATCCCCGGAAACATCCTGACCAACTCCGCCGCCGGCGACCCCCTCGGGAAAGGTCCCTGAGTCGGTGGCGTCGCTCCATCCACGCCCACAGCATGCGCAGGATACTGTGGATAGAACATCAGGTGTGTCGCTCTCAACGTCCTATAAAATGGGATTTGAAAGGCCAGATCTACATCCCACGCCCACATCCACGACTGCTTGACCGGTGTTGGTATGGCAGTAGGCGCCGCACCAATGCCTGCAAGCGTGATCCAAAGGTCTATACCATCTTTCCTCTCGGCGAAGATGGAACTCACTGCTATACTCCGGTCATCAGGCGTGGACTCGACAGTCAGCACGACGTCTCTGATGAAGACGGTGGCTGGGGTGGTGGCTGTTTGTCGCAGGCAGAATTTCACTGCAATCATGTCTTTGGTTTCTTCGCCCAGGAAAGGCAGTGTGGGGCGGACGGTCCATTCGTACTTTTTTGAGACGCCGATGCTGAAGGACCATTTGTCATTGTTGGAGTAGGTGAGGGTTGTGCGTTGGGATGATCCTGTTACCGGGGCGTAGAAGTAGGGGGTAGGTGGAGGGTAGGCGGCTGGGCTGCCGGCGGTGAAGGGGTGGGGAGTTTGGGGTGGTGGTGGTGTCTGTGTTGCTTTGCTTGATGGCGGCTCTCTTGGGCCACCGAAGTAGTGGAACTTCGGAGGCCGAAACGGATCAGTTCCCGTCGATGTGGTTCGGGGCGGCGGAGGCCTTTTGAAGCCTGGTGCATCGGGGGCAGGCGCTGGGGGAGGTTGCGCTGGAGGAGGTTGCGCTGGAGGAGGTTGCGCTGGAGGAGGTTGCGCTGGAGGAGGTCTCGCTTGGGGAGGTCGCGCAGTTGGTGTATTCGATGGCCTCACTGCCCGCGCTAGTGTCTTGTTGTAGCTCTTTCTCTTCGCCGGGTCGAGCAGTACTTCCTGCGCAGTCGTCGCTAGCTTGAAAATTTGTGTTCGCTGCTCAATTTCTGCTGTTGACAAGTGCAGGGTCTTGTCGGGATGGTTCTTGAGCGCAACCCGCCTATATGCCTTTCTGATCACAGCGTCATTAGCCTGGATATCGATACCGAGGACCTGATAGTGATTCGCATTAGCCATGATCAAATGCAGAAAGAAGACGAGAATCAAAGAGGTGGCGTTGGCGGTGGGGCGTCGGTTGGCAGACACAATTTTTCCAGTACGACAGAACTAAGCGCTGTGAAGGTGAAAGTGAGTATGCTAGATGAAGCGCACGCTGTGAAAAGACATCAAGTAAATTTCCCCTTCTCATGATCACCGATTCCGCATCCTAGTCCTGCTGTCGCTCATTACCCTCTGTTCTTCTACTGTAGTCGCCCAAGAGTGGTTGCATATCGGTGTGTAAACACCTACTCTTTCACAGCTCTTCAAGCCTCTGAACTCCCCGTTCCTTATGCAAGACCACCCTAACCATCCTACCCTTATCATCAAATAGTCCTTCGCGCAGGCGCTCTAGGTAAATCTCATAGCTCGGCATATACCCATCAATGAACGCGCGAACCTGCTCGTCCGACATCCCCGACCCCTTGATCTCAATCATCTTGTGCTCTTGCTGCAGCCGCCACGTGTACACGTTCCTCAGATCATCCGTGTCGATATGAATGAAGAGGTCAAAGTGTTGAGGTCCCATGAAGGCGTCACAGTAACGCTTGAGGTTCTCGTTCACTTCGAACAAATGGGGAAGCTCATGGTTTGCAGGGGTGTTGACGGTGAGCTTTCCGGCTTTTGCCAACGAATGTCGTTCTTCGATGAAAGTCTGTGCAACGGGCTGGAAGCCGATGCACCAGCCTTCGAAGACGACAACGTCAGGTTTTTGCGATATCGTTGGCCACTCTGATTCAGGTGCTCGGTCGCCTTCGCCGTTGTACTTGCTCTTGTCGAAGCTGGGTATCTTGAGATCGCCTTTCCCAGTATATTCTTTCAGATCGCCGAAGAACTTCTGGGCTAGCTGTTCGTCATGTGTACCAGGCTGCCCACGAGTACGGTGGAGCTTGTTGTTTGGATCACGATCCCGCTGGGCCACTAGCTCATCATGCGTCTTGTAGAAATCGTCCAGTGAAACTGTGATCGTATGGAGGCCATGGTCTTTCGAGAGAATCTTGACAAGCTCTGATGCCCATGTCGATTTTCCTGAGCCTTGCAGGCCAGTGATACCAAGTATGATAGGTTTTGACGACTCCTCATGTCGCAACTTGATCTTAGGAAGCAGGACTTCGAGCGTCCTGCGTATGTTGTCTGGTAGGCTAGACATGACGCAAACTTTCCGGTATGTGTAGTCCTGCAATCGTGAGGTACGACCAGTGTTGGCTCTCGTCTAGCCCTGGCTGTCATCCGAAGTATATATTAGCGGACATGTATAGTCCGGAGTGAAGTCATTCGTACCCGCCGCATGGATGTCGGCCCGAGCGCACCCCGCACTTTCCACGAGCTGTCAGAGTACCATCGGTCACCACCCCAAAGACAAGGCTGCAAACCGAGAATCTTAAGATGTAACTTCCCATGCAGAGCCATGCGCTTACGGTCGTACAAACCGTTATCGCCCCTGCCGTTATATTGCCTATTCCCCTCGCTACCGCCAACAACCACCTAGCACGACACCGCCGTGTCAAATTTCCACAACACCCAAACCAATAAGCTACGCAGCGGCACAACACCAAGCAAATTACCGCTGCGGCCTCGCTACCACGATCTAATGCCAGGGCGAGCAGAAGACGAGTTACAAAGTTACTGCGTTAGGAAAGAAAAGAGGAAAAGTGTGGATTGTGGCATGCGATTTCACGGTTCCGACTGTGACAGTTCACCGCCTCTTACGCTCGTGAACCACTGCAGGTGACGGGGTCGAAATTGCGGTCGCGCAAGCGTCCCAGACATGGTTACGGAAAGTTGTGCGCTGTTCGTGTTTTCTTGTGGTTCTGCGTGCTATTTTTGGTAGCTAAGAGAAAGGAAAGGGACGGTTCAAGTGCGCGAGTCATGCAAGTACGAACTCCTTTCCTCATATAACCGCGATGGCAGGTGCGGGATTCATACTCGTCAGTTTCTCGAGTCTTTCGGCTGTCATCTGGTATACCTCCGGCAATCCCGTCGCACTCCAGGCTTCTCCATTCATGAGTTTCACCAGGCCAGGTGCTGCTGTGAAGATTCGCCCCATCCCACTGTCCCGATGTTAGCCTCGCACTTCTTCGTGGACTATTGAACTTACTGTCCATGATGGCCGGCACAGATATATTGACCAGGCTTCTCGGGTAGCTCTCCGACGAACGGCACACCGTCCGCGCTCAACCCGATGATACCGCTCCAACTATACTCAAAGCGCTCCCCGGGGCCTGCAGGGGCGGCTTTCCAACCGTCGAATTCGGATTCTACAAACTTCCTGACATGCTTTGTCACCCTTTCTAGGTTCGCAAGTCCATCGTTGATGCAGTTTTCTGGGTTGTTCTCGACCCACACATCCAGTTCCTTTTGTCCAGGGTTGGAGCCACCGAACATGATGTTGGCATCGGAGGACGAACGCGGGTTGATACTGAAGAATGCACCATCCGGTAGCAGAATACCATATGAGTTTTTGATAGCCTTTGACCCACTGAAGGCTTGCGGCGGAGCTACTCTGTTGCACATATGCGGCTTGGGCGTAATGATACCGCAAAGTGACGGCTCGAGAGCTGCGCTGTACGCATTCGTAGCATGCACAACGGCGTCACATGCGATGCCTCCTCGTTCCGTATTGATCATCCATTTCCGAGATCCTGTCCCTTCTGAAATTGACTTTGCAGTAGTACGAGTTTGGAGGTTGGCGCCCTTGGTTATGTTTTCGCGCATGATGTGCGCTGTCAACTTCCAAGGTTGCAAGGTCGATGCCTGCCATGCGTAGCATGCTTTCGCATTCTTGATCCGAGACTTTTGCGCCGCTTCGACAGGATCGTGGGTAACTTGGATATGGTCAACCTTTCCACCTGCTTCCACGTACCTCTCAAATATTTCTCTAGCTATCTTCGCAACTTCTTCGTCCAGAGGAACATCCAGGGTCTCTCCAACCCAGAGATCGCATTCCACGTTGTTCTCTTTGACGTATGCTACCAACGCTTCCCACGTAGCTTGCTCGTTGTCCAAGATCTTGACCGCCTGCTCATGGCCGTACGCTTTGGCGTGTTTCCCGTAACCCCGCCACTGATCAGGTTTGCAATGGCCAGCGTTGCGACCTGTTGCGCCAGAGCAAAACTCCCGTGCTTCGAGAATGACCACTGTCTTTCCGGGAAACGTCTCGAGATGATGCTTCGCGACAAGTGTCCCTGTGATACCAGATCCAATGATGACCGTATCGGCTTCTTGTGGTAGCTCATCGGTAGTGCGGTGATCTAGGAGTGGATCGCATCGAACTTGCTGTAACCAATACGAAAGCGACTGTCCACCTTGTTTGGGGAAACCCTGTGCGGCCGTGACTTTGTGGTTGCGATGCGTACTCTTCTACGTTGAGTGCGGCTGATGTTCCTGGGAGAGTGACGCTGGGTGCACCGCCCATTCTGGGGTCTTCTGAGTCCATCTGCTTCATGTTGGAGTGCCAGGAGTGTGTGTAGAGGATGTGGCTCTAGAAGGGGCTAGATACGTTAACGAAAGCGATCCTTCAAGCCCTCTCTGATAGTATCATGGCGATGTCGCACATCTTTACATCACCCGCTTACTTACTCTTCGCTGCATTTGACTGCTGTTGCGGCGTGTGAATCAGACGTAAGGTGTTGGGTACGCAGCCCGGAGATAAGCTGTCAGTCGCGCCTTGCCCCACATGCTCGTCACTTGCTGCAGCATTATCATTTCCATCATACTTGCGGTATTCCAACCACCTCGACAAACTCTCTAAATGCGTCCGCTAAGCTTCGTCGTATAATCATCACTACACAGTCGAAGCAGTCCCTAGTCTCTACCTTTCGAATGTCGGCATCTTGCGACGGAAGAAGTAGCTGCGCAAGATGCCAATGTCATCACACGGGTTACCGCCTGAGTCGCTGCATCATATCCGTGGCTAGTCGATCTCTCCGTCGTCTTCGGCAGGCGGGCGCCTTGTCTCTCTGATGCTGGTCAAGTAACCCTTCGTAAAGATGCCAGATGCGCGTGGAGCAAGGAAGTCGGGCCAGGCCTTGATGAAGACCATCACATGATTTTGGTGTTCCCTTAACCTGGATTAATAACTTTCGCTAGCGCCAAAAGTGACCAGGATAGAGAACTAATTAACCAGGACAAATAACTTTTTGACCCGGATCAATAACTTTTTAACCCGGATCATTATACTCATTTCCCGGAGACGGCGACACGGCAAAAGATAAACACGCGTTCCTCTAGTCGCTCCGAGACAGCTCCCGCTTCTCATGTGGGTGTCTCAACGTATCAACGCGCAACGCGCGTGATTATCTTGGACATCCTGACGCGACGCGTCACAACTGCATCTTCAGATATTACAATACATTACCATCACGTCCACGTCCTACGGAATCGCGAGCAGCGATGGAAGCGCCACATAAACGACAACGCGCCAACACCAACGGTGATTCGATCGCGCTGCGAAACTTCACCGAGGCCGGTGTTCTCGCCGACTTTTTCGCCAAAAGCGAACTCCAAGATTGCATCGACGTACTGCATGCAGACGACGGTGGCAAACTCATCAAGGATATACTCCTAAACGCAGCTCTTTTCACACCAGAGATTGCTGCAGCCCTGCGCAGCCACAAACAAGAATACATGGAGCGACAGCGTTGCAAGGTCGTCGATTTCAGCAGTTACGCCCGGAAGGTGGATTATTGGATCAACGAGCGGTACATGAACTCCAGCTGTGCGAAGCAATACAATGCCGCCTTTGACGTCATACGCCAAATAGAAGAAGTTTTCACGACCATCGTTGAACAAGCTGCTCAAGAGTCTGCTTCCTTCGGCACGAAGCAGTCTGCGCTCGATGCGCTGTACCTTATTGGATGGGCGATCTGTGAAAGCCAGGAAGAGATCGGCAAACAAATCCGTATGCATTTCCAGGTCGACAACTCTTTGGAAGACTCGATGAACGCCGTCATTGACGAGATGAGCGTGGAGGAGTGTGAGAGGATGTGTGCTCGGGATTATTCCGGCGGTACATCGTTTTTGGGAGCAATGGAGGAGCTTAAGAAGCTTGCTGACGATTACTGCGTTTGCACGGGACTCCAAGACGTGATCACAAATCTTACTTGTGAGGATGAGACGGACGAGGATGGGGAAGGCGAAGAAGAAGCGTAAGAAGACAGCGAGGGGTGAGACCTACTTCAGATATTACGAAGTGCGATATCTGTGGCATAAAGCCCATGGGTTAGATGTCGAAGAAGGAAGGAGAGTAGTTGGACTGTTAGACTTCATACGGCGCCCCCCAAACGACGCGATGAGCCGATGAATCTTGGCCAAACACGAAGGAAAGATAGCGAAAAGAGGATGATCTGTGATCCGTCTTCGGGCTGAGTGCTTATTTGGTAATTTTGCCCGAGTTCTTGCAATTTAGGTCACGGCTTTCTACCGCTGGCAGCTCGCATAGTCCTACCTAGGTACTTAGGTAGTCTTATAGTCTCATGTCATGCACGCAGGCAGCACCTGCGCAGTCGCAAGCCTGGCACCATTTTCAGCACACAAACTGTAAACACGATCAGCACGGCGTCCCCTGTTGGGGTGGGTCTTCTGGATTACGTAATTCTGGACCGCGTCAACACGTCGCGCTATCTCGCGACGCGTCAGCGCGAATCCTTACTCTCCCTTCCGGAACTCGCAACTTACATCAACTCTATCATTGGCTCACGACGAACCGTAACAGAATGGAGCGATCACGCAAGCGACAACGTGCTGAGAGTGAAAATGATTCACCTTACATTCCACCTTACATAAGATCGTTCCCAACAACGAGCCAGAACATACCAGACTACGATCTCAGATCCGCCATTGCTACCCTCGACATAACAGGCGGCAATTGGAGATGTAGTTTTAGCCAGAGGCTTTTGCTCAACCGAGCTGTCGCCGACCCCGCAATCGCAGCTACAATCCGGCACGTTTTCCACGGCTACATGGAAGCCCAACAAGGGACAACCATTGACTTCTCAGACTGCGTCCTTCTACTGAATGCCGTCATAAAAGCAAGAGTCGCCATGCTCAATTCTTCGAACCTCAATCTCATGTGCATAGAAATCAAAGACAGCTTCTCCGCAAGCACGCGCTATGTTCTTGGTCAAACACACGACTGCTCGACACTTTCCACAAAGAAGTCTGCGCTAGATACCCTGCGACTGCTGGGTGTCGCGCTAGTCAGCACACCAAATGGTCGCTTGCTAAAGGCCTTCCGTTCCCATTTTCACACAAGGGACACCAACGCCTACGTTCTTGGCATGATCGATATCGTCAGAACCATGTCCGAGCGGGAACGCATGGACGTAGCTCGGATGCCTGTTGACGGCGCAACAGTTGCGATGATAGGACCTGCACGAATAGGAGGGAATAGATTCATGGATAAGATGCTGGAGTTGTGCGCAGAGCTTGATGACGCGCGATTATTGCCAGGCTTGTACGCTGTTTACAGGGAGCTGATGAGGTGGCCTGAGGATCGTAGTGATGAGGATGACCAGGACCATGAGTATGGCCATGAGTTGGGCTATGAGTGTATGGCGCCGCCCAGGTTAGAAGGTACTACTCAATAGCAGCGTAGAAGCATAGCGCATATCTGGAATGGCTGTACGTGCGAAAGTCTTGGTATGGGAACAGAAAGAGGAGGTTGGCCTCCTGGTTGATAGGTGTGTCTCTAATCAGAGCGTCGGTGTTTGTTTGCTTCTTGCTTGGACTGCGAATCACGTCTACTTCTGCAAAATGACATTAGGTGGCAAAAGACGAAGGCGGAGCAATCAACAGCGTTTTGTTAAACATGAAATGATGCGAGAACGCATATGAGATACTACTAACTTATTTGGAACCACCAATGCCAGCGCATTCTGTTGTGCTCCTGTTCTGCCATTATACACGACTCTACAGCTCGCACCCTGCATCTCACTCAGACTCCACTCGCCATGAAGCCCTCACTCTCGCAGCCCGTTCTTCCAAAGATACTCTAGGCCATGCTGGATCCTCCGCCTCCCTATCCGCACGCTCTTCATCAGCAAGAAGTTGTTCATCATTCATCAGTTCCGAAAGATCGGGGTCCAGAGATATCCTCACATGCTCCACAACGCGACCCAAACCCGTGAAGAACCCAGCAGCGTTCAGCCTCTCGCCCAGCTGATCCATTTTCTGGAGCAGCGTAAGTTTTCCCCACATGATTCTACACATCTCCCTCCGCTCTGCTCGGTTCATAGTGAAGAAGATCCTTCTGACAGCTTTTCGGAATCCGCTTTTGTTGCAGGCGAGATAACTCGGCGCGTATTCCTGTAGTGTCTCGTCTTTGATGTTCAACAAAGCTTGGGCGAGCTTGATCAACGTCCGTAGGGCAGATTCTTTGGTCGCGAAAGAGGAGGTGTATATGCCTGCCTCATTGACGATCTCTTTAATGATCCCGAATGTGCCGCAGTATAAGCTACTGCAGGCCCAGTCTTCGTTTTCGTAAAAGATGTTATTTGCAGCTCTGCGGATGCTGCCATTGATGCCGTTGACGCCGGTGATATGTGGCTGGAAGCTGATGTCTACGCCCTTATGCTTATGTAGGGATCGTCGGATTTTGGTCGCGATGGCTGGATTTTCCTCAGCGAGCTGAAGGAGTAGGCGCTGGCTGTAGCTGCGTTTCCGGGTGTGGCCGGGCTTGTTATCGAGCATGTGGATGGCTTCAACGAGGTCATACTGGGGTAGCGTGTCTTCTGGCGACGGGCTTCGACTAAAAAAGAGGTCGTCTGAAGGGCAGGAATTGCTGTCGGGAAGTAGACGTCGTCGCTTAAGTGTGCGCCCCATGATTGTGGAAGCGCCGTTGAGGGTATCTCGGTGTTGGATTGTTCATTAAAGGTGTTCGCAAGTCATTGCAAGTAGTGCTGATGGCATCCGCACCAAGATTGAGGGGTCGACCCAAATAAACTTCACGAGTGAGGGGGTGAGCTAGCACCAAAAGTATCAGAACAACAGGGCTGTTCAGCAAGGTTCGTAGGAAATGTTCTTGCATTCAGCTCAAAAGTTTATCCTTGTGTAATCGCATTTTCCGCCATATATCCTCTCACTCCGAGTAATCATCAGGCTCAGGAGTTCCGTTATCTTCGACACCGTTGTCTATGTCATCTTGAATGGTCTGTGGCGTTACGTCCAACTCCTGGTGAACAATACTGAAACGAATAGGAAACCCCGCATTGTTCAACTGCTTCTGCAGCTCTTCCAACTTCTCTTGGAATTGCCCTGTAGGTTCTACAGACTCTTCATCTCTCAATCGGGCTAAGAAATCCATTGATTCGTTCACCGGCATCATACACACCTCTTCACGCTGGTCCACATTTATGTGGCGCGCGATTTGGTACATGCCGTTGACGTATTCTTGGCTCTCGACATCTTTGATACGATCTGCGACTGCAGCGCGCAGTTTCTTGTCCGGGGTGTTGACTAGCATGACGCCCAGTTTCCTCAGCGCATCCAACGCGTTCTTCTTAGTGCCGAGGGACGAATAGTCGTGCGTTCGCCCGCAAATCTCGGCCACGCTTCTGTAGAATGCACCCTTTATTTGGGAAGATAAGACGGGGATCTCTTCGGGCGGTACGGCATCGTCCGCACATCCACGCACGCCAGGGATAGTCCACTTGAAGTCATCGAGAACTTTTCTGAAGTCGGCGCTTGTGTTTCTCTCCTTCGCCATGTAGGCGTCGTAGGCTTCTTGGATTGTGGCTGCGATTGTGGCGTCACTCTTCGCGATCTTGAGGAGGGTACGATGGCTGAAGCTCGTCGTGGCGAATGGCACGTCCATGGCGCCCTCATCAAGAAAGTGTATCATGGTTCTGATAAATTCTGTGTCGATTGGTGCAGGCGGTACTGCTGTTGGGAGCGAATTTGCATTTGATGCCGTAGTAGGCGGATGGGAGGGTACGGTGTCGGCACTGTCAGCACGTTGCCGCTTGAGAGGTGGTTCCATAGTCGTTAAGCCTTACGGACTGATGATAAAGACGAAGAGAGTCGCAATTTGCTAAATGAGAAGGAAATGTACGATCTTTCGCGCGGTAAGAGGAAGACTTTACGTGTTGTGAGCTGGTGCAAAATGACGTAGTCTGGGCTTGGACGCGGCAGGGAGGACTATTGCTTTTTCGGAGTATCTGCCGTCTGGATCGTAACCCTTGTCGAGACATGAAATGAGTGTTTCAAGGCTTTTCGTAAGTATTGCAAGCTGTGCCATAAAGAAGGTTTTCGTGTGATGCAGGTACAGATCCTGCCTTCCTGTTACGCGTTGATCAACGCACAGACCCTTTCATAACATCCCTTAAACATCTCTACTGCTAAATGGCTACTTCCGCACGTAGCTCTATCTCGCAACAAAGTAAAGTTATCAAGAGTCTTTCATTCGAAAGAACTTGGTGCGAAAAATTTCCCGTCGTCACTCGGGCAAATCCCTAACAATCTCGCGTTGCGATGCATCCACCCCAAACACTTCAGTTACCTCCGTTCTCGGTGCATGCCGTACCTGTCACACCCGCTGAAAAGCTAACTCCCCTCTTCATCCACGACAAGTTAGAATCAGCGTGTTCGTCCTGTCCTGTTTTTCGCTGGCTTCATCTCATCACCACCCTCCTCTCTACCACTCTCCTCATGCTCATCTTTCTCTTCCAAAGATCCACTTGAATCCTCACCAAAAGGGGTGTCAACATCGCCGTACGCAACCTCTTTGGTAACATCTCCACTATCCCCTGCACCATCCTCCCCATCATCCTCTTCCATCTCCTCATCCCCATCCCCAAACTCATAGCCCTCTTCCATCATCCTCGACATCATCTCCACATGATCAATAATCAAAGCAGCCCGCACTCGTTCCTCCACAGACAACCAGGTAGCATCGTTGAGCGCGCATCTGACTTCTTCAGCCGTCTGTTGAAGTTGCTTGAACATCGACGCCAACAGTTTTTGGCGTTTCCGGCATGGATCGTTGTGGTCGTTGATGCTGGAGGTGCTGCGTCGGCGCTTGAGGGGGCGGTGTTGCATGGCTGTTGCTGTTTGTGGTAGTTGAGGATGAGGATGAGGATGGAAATAGGATTGGAGATGAGGATGTTGGAGCTGACGGAGGGGATAAACGCGCGTTGAAAGGGGAGTCTATTTGCCGTTCGGATGGTGTGCGTGGTGTATTACAAGTAGATGCCATCACCTACCCTTCAACCACCGTAGTGTCGGCATCTTCACTTTTGGTTGAATGGTCGACCCAAACCCATCACATTTTCCGTTCCAAACTTCCGAGAAGACAGTCTGATAATAATCTTTCATTTGATTACTCAAAATATCTAATAATGCTTCTTTGTATATGGGTTCGTCTCTATCGTGTATATAATGCATAATGGCATCTAGTATGCAGTGAAAAGGGTATCTGCGCCTCTCCCATGCTTTTGATAACGCCGTTGAAGTGCACTTTTTGCAGTGAAAAAAAAAGGAAGGATCCCACCCAGGTATGAAGAACGCTTGAATGGTGTTGAAATGGAAGAGTCGAGATGGATGGGAAAAGATCGAGCGGAGTGGACCGAAAGACCGTTGTAGTGATGTTGGACGGAAAATTCGCAGCGCTTGCGAATCGGGTTGTCGTCGCAAGCAGAATGAGAGCTGGTGCTCTTCGTGCTTATATCTTGGCCTGGCGAAGGATCCGGCTGTCCTGCTGCGCTTGTTGCAGCGCGAGAATCTCTCTTTGCTCCTGGAATACCTGGCGCGCGCGCTCGAGCACCATCTCGAAACCCTCCTTGCCCTTAGCAGCGTTCTGCTGGAAGCGCTCAACAGTGAACTGCTCGATGCTGTTCTTGATTTTCTGCCAGCCACCGCAGAGCGCGGTGATCTCGGCGCGCTGGGTGAAGGCGGTCTTATCGGGTGATGAGGCGACGGGGTGGTATATGCAGGTCTCGCGCACGTTGAGGAGGTCGGACCATGTCATGTTCATGGAGCAGAGTGTGAGCTTCTTAGCGACGGGGTCGACGTAGGAGGTCTCGTAGACCATGGAGGTGTCCTGGCCGCCGAGTATGGTCTGTATCCATTTGGGTGTCGACTGTTGGCATGTGATGAGACGTTCGGTGCGGAGCTGCAGTGTGTTAGTTTTCTGCTCGGTGAGGCTGGTGGGGCGCGCCGAATTGACATGTGAAAGAAGGAGTCACTTACAATTCCTGTCGCTGGGTCGACGGAGCGACTTAATGTATCGACGGCGATGACATGGGGTGTCTTCTCGTTCCAGGGACCGTATTTGCGCCAGTTGCTCGTCGAGACCTCCTCCCATGTGTAGTCGAAGTCGACTGTCTGCTGGAAGTACTTCATCGTGTGGTCGTGTGCGCTGTCGTGTGGGTCGGGTAATGTTCGTTGTCGCTTCGATGTGACGTGTTCGCAGTGATTCGGACCCGAGAATCCGATGGTATGTATTGATGAGCTGTGATAGCTGTACTGTGGAGTTGAGGTGGGTTGTGAAATGTGAAGGGTGCAAAAGGTTTGGAGACGGGTGGGCAAAGGCCGAAAAGCAGGCCGTGCGCTGGCGATAAACGATCGTCGGGGAAAGCGGGAAGTGCTCAACGCTTTTCACCGCTCGTGCCCTGTATCTTTGTTTCTGGTTTCTCCGCAAAGTCGTGCCGATTAAAGTGCGGTGTAAGGAGTTGGAGACAGATGCGTTGTCAAACAATCAAAAAGCAAGAAAGTCGCGATGTTCTGGTTCGTTGGTAAGAAAGCAATGTGAAACGAGTGTACGAGAGCCTTCACTCATACGGATCTACGAAATCTTCGCCACGGACAGCCGCCTTTCCACTTTTCCAGCCAATCACAGCCGAGGTGCTGACAGCCGCGGGTACGAGTCGTGTGCCATCCTCAGCGGCGTCTGGCCCAGTCATCCCGACTCTCCCCGTATGACGTCTCGACCCGAATTGGCCAGGTCTCGTTGGTGGATTTCTTCTAGACTTGACGCAGGGCGTGGAGTACCTGAAGCTTGCACTGATGATCTAGCTGCGCATTTGGCTCGCGCAACAAGCTAAGAATCAGGGTCTTCCGGCTGTCGTGTGCGCAAGGCGGTCATTGGCTTGGGAGTGTGATCCACGACGTGTAGTGGGATGGAAGTCCTCGGTTACGCGTGTCTCCAGTGCGTTGACGATGCTATCACACATCAATGACGAATAGAATTCATGATGATTACTTCAATTTTCTACGTTTGCTGCAATGAGCAAGCATTGTGATAACCCCAATACAAACGAGTGAAGGCCCTAAGGCTGCGATGGAGACAGATACAAATTCATCGCAAGAAGAGAGCAAGTTATTGTCGTCTTTCGACGGCTAATCATGTATTTTCATGATTCATCTAACCAATTGTATCGTTGGTATCATAACTTCTGTATGAAAGCGCCAGAACGCCAACCATGCATATGCAAAGTGTAAGCAACTTTCGTTGCTTCATGTGATACACTCAACTGAGTGTCCATGTCGTTCCATCGTAAATATCTACAACTCCAATGCCTTCTTCGCCATTGCGAGCGCACCGTCGAACGTCTTGTTTCCTCCGATGAAACCAGCGGCGTGTACGAAGACACAGCCTGGGATACCAGAGACCTGGTCGAGCTGCTCGTCGCGCACACCCTTCCACGCATCGGGCAGGTCCTTGCGGTTCTCAAAGCCACCGTTCTCCTTGCTAACGGCACGGATGCGCCACTTGCCCTCGGGCTTGTCTTCGGGGAAGAGGACGTAGAGAACCTGAGGGGCGACGCCTTGTGGCTGTTGTGCCTCCTTCTCGAAGTTGTAGAGGTGATCGGCCCACGGCATGCCTTCGGGAAGGACCAGGATGCGTCCCTGAGGATCGTACTGGAGACGGGCGTCGTAGGCCTGCTTGACCTGGTGACGAGCGGGGAGCCACGACCGGGCGCGGTCGAGGAGTTCCCAGCGGAACTGCTCGCCTACGAAGCGAGATGCATTGGTGAAGCGGAAGTCCTCATCAGCCTGCTTGGCCTCTGGGGTTTTGGTCTCGTCTGCGGTCGGCGACTTGTTGCCATAGTTGTAGCGGTTCACTACGCTGGCGATGCTGAAGCCGCGGTCCTCGAACTTCTTCTCCAAACCTGCCTTCTCCAGGTCCTTGGGCGCGAGGACGTTGATGCCGTTGTCGTTGGCGTCAAAGGCCTCGATGAAGTCAGTGTAAATCTTCTCGTACAGAAGATCGCGGTCGGCGCCTTCTAGACCAGTTACAGCGGTGATGATGTCTTTTCCGTAGTGCATGTAGACGAGACCAGCGGAGGAGAGCTTTGTGGTGTGGCCGGGGAAGACGACCTCGAAGCCGCGCTGGTGGTGATCATAGCGCTTCTTGTCGTCCTCGTACTCGCCGCCTACGTCGACAACGGTGTGGCATTCGGCGAGGACGGCGGGGTCACGGGTGCGGATGAGCTGAGCGTCGCGGTAGGTGGGCAGCTCCTTCAGCATGGAGACGGCAAGGGCCTCGTCGGCGTGGAAGTGGCCATTGTGCGTGCCAATGACAGGCACGTCCGTCTTGAGTTTCTTGGTGGGGCTTTCGGTCATGGTGCGGGCGTAGTTTGCAGAGGAGTTGGCGAAGTAGTTTGATGTGGGCGGCTTGTATGTGTTCCAGGCGATTCGCGATGGTCTGGCAAACAAAGGTCGTAGTTTGAACATGCAATTGCTGCTAGTAGAAGTTTCGCATAAGAAGACGGTCCCGCGGCGGGCACCTGGGCTTGGCAGGATCCGCGGGCGCTAGTAGGTGGGATACGCAAAAGCAAGCACGGCAAGCTCGTCACAGTCGGAGGCAGCAAGAGCAGGGCAGGAGGATTCAAGACACTGTCT